GGGCATCCTCATCCACGCCATTGCCCTCTGGCTCCACAGGCAACCAGCATGACCCTCCATCCGTTCTTGTGTGTGTGTGTGTGTGTGTGTGTGTGTGTGTGTGTGTGTGTGTGTGTGTGTGTGTGTGTGTGCGTGTGTGTGTGTGTGTGTGTGTGTGCGTTGAACGCGGCATGCACAAAACATGGTTGGCCAGAGCCTACATAGTACTGTTCGTTAGCGACAACGGCCATGCGTTTGCCTTGTCACTGCCATGCCACTCGCTGCTATGGCGTATCGATATGCGACTATGTATATGTGTACAGCTGTCATGTACACGAAGAGTCTAACCAGGGCAGGATAAAAGCAAGTAACGCGAGACAGCAAGCAAGACAGCAAGTCCAGCTCATCAGCAAGCAAGGAGATGTAACATAACGACATCATGGATGCTGCCAGCTTGTCCTTGTCATCACGTGTCACTTGCTGCTTCACACCCCCTCTTCGAGTATCAGGGCTACTGTCGTCAGCCCCGGAACTCAAACGCGGCAGCCACCACAGGCGCCTCGTTCAGCACAGCATGGCCCCAGGACGCCGGCACAAACAGCGCGTCCCCTTCCTTTTGCTCGCACGTCATCATAACTTGCCTGCAACCCCCGCCACCACCACCACCACCACCATCACTGTCGAAGCAGGTTGTCGCTGTGTCGCGCGCAAACCACGCGTGTGCAGTCACCATGTGGAAGAAGGCGTGCTGTGGTGGAAACAGCTGCCACTGCTTCCTGCCTTGCACGAGCACGTTGATGGCCTGCCCGTGGAAGTGCGGTGGTGCGCCACTGCCCGTGGGGCCAACCATCAGCTGCGCCAGCACAAGCTGCTCCGTGCTGCTCACCACAAAGGGCAGGCCAATGCTGTGCAGCATCTCTGGGTGGCGGTGAAGCACGCTGCCGTCAAACACATACATGCACGTGTCTGTTGTGCGGCAGTCTTGAGCTTGTTGCTGGTGGTGCTGGTGGTGGTTATTGCTGTAGCCCATGTGCTGCTGCACGAATGTGCGAAGCGGCATGGTATGTGTAGTGCTGTGCCCGTACGTGCTTGCATACGGAACTGCCGCAACAGACACCATTGCATCTCCAAGTGATGGTGATGATGGGGAGGAGGACGCAGCGAGGGAAGCGAGCCTGATGGCGGCGGCGTGTGCGGGCCAGTGCGAGAGGTAGTTGCGGATCACCACAGGCTGGGCCAAATGCACGTACTCGGCGAGAAACGAGGCCGTGTCGTTGATGTCGCTTGCATCCACATGTGCACATGTCCACGGCGATGGCTCGCGCGACCTGGCAGCCGCATCTATTTCGTGCCCATGATGGCGGATTGCAGCACCTCCACCTACATCACCCCCATCACCTGCAACCGTTTCACCATCAACACCTGCATCATCTCCACCACCCCCACCACCACCATCACCATCACCTTCACCACCACCATCCCCATCACCATCACCATCACCACCTCCATCACCACCTCCATCACCATCGCCTGCAGCCGCTGCATGCCTGTCATCGCGCCAGCGATTGCCACAAACTGTGGAGAAGGGGGGTCTGCTCGCAAGGTAGGCCGGTGTGACGCGACGCGCGTTTGCTGAGTTATTGAGCGCAAAGCCGTGCGGTGCAAGCAGCAAAGCGTTGGTGGTGTCACAGAACCCCTGAGCGACAGCGAGGTGCAGGGGCGTGTTGCCGTCGTTGTCCACCGCGGCAACATCGCAGCCAAGCACATCAAGGAGGGCAGATGTGGCGGCAGGGGAGCGGCCCGAAAAGGCGGCAATGTGCAGCGGCGTTCGCCCGAGGGAGTCGCGCTCGTCGCAGCCGAGACCGTGGCTGTGCAGAGGAGCCAGCAACCGGATGTCCGACGCCGATGTGGCCTCCTCCAGCATGTGCCGTGTGACGAACGTGTCATGTTGGAGTGGCTGGTGCTCGTGTTTGTGTAGCGTGGGCGGCGCGATGTCAAGAAGGCGAAAGGCCTTGGCGGTGGCCGGGTCCACACCGTTGCGGAAGAGGCGGGCGAAGCCAGAGGCCTTGGACAGGGCCAGGAGGTGCAGGGCCGTGTCGTTGTTGTGATCGCGCTGCTGCAAGCAAGTGACCAGGTCCTCGGGGCTTTGGGCGTCCACGAGGAGGCGAAGCGCGGCTATGTTGCGCAGCGCGACGGCGTAGTAGATGGGGCAGGCGCTGTCGGAAGCCATGCCAGCTGAGACGAGCCGAGCCACGACAGCCTCGTGGTCTCCAGGCGGCGACGCCACGTCTGCGGTCAGGCTGCTCTGGCGCCCTTGCAGCGCATAGTTGAGGGCCGTCCACCCTTGTTCGTCTGTGGCAAACACGAGCCTGCGCGGCATGGTGGCCAGGATCCTCTGCACTGCCACGTCGTCGCCACGGTACGCAGCCTTCATCAGCGCCGTGGGCTGGCTCACTTCCACCTTATTGCGTGATGCAGATGGGGATGATGGAGGTGAGCTGCGCTCATGCACGGCATGTTGTTGCAACCGCTGCTGCTGCTGCTGCTGCTGCTGCTGTTGTTGGTACTGCTGTTGTTGGTACTGCTGTTGTTGGTACTGCTGTTGTTGGTACTGGTGGTGGTGGTCGTCGTCGAGTGCACTGAACCACACGATCCCCACTAGCACAGCCCCCACCGCAACCACCAGCGCCACCGTGTTCAGATGGCTGCTGTTCACTGCTGGCTTCCTCCTTTTCTTCTTGGTGGTTGATGTCATTCTCGGCTGGTTGGTTGGCTTGATTCGATACGGTGACAATGCGCACGGTGTTGGTGGTGGTTGCGTGTGTTTGTGTTGTGTTGGCGGCGGTTGTGGCCCGAAGCGATGTTGGTCCGCGCAGCCTGGTGGCCTGCGCCGTGGTGTCGGTGACCAAAGCGCTTGGCAGGCCTGACACGCACGCCGTCCCCGCAGACGACCCAGCTGCCGTTGCCGTGGCACGACGCGAGCTCGACCAGCAGTCGTGGTTGGGCAGGGTCGTCTTCCTCGCGCCGGCGCTTTCGCACATTCGAACCGTGGAAGGCACCGTCGCTGACACCGTGCCTGTGCGCTGTTACGTTCATCCATCAAACCACCGTACGTTCCCACGTGTGTCTGTGTGTCTGTGTGTGTGTCTGTGTGTCTGTGTGTGTCTGTGTGTGTCTGTGTGTCTGTGTGTCTGTGAGTGAGTGTCTGTGGGTGTGTCTGTGAGTGAGTGTGAGTGTGAGTGTGAGTGTGAGTGTGAGTGTGAATGTGAATGTGAATGTGAGTGTGAGTGTGAGTGTGAGTGTGAGTGTGAGTGTGAATGTGAGTGTGAGTGTGAATGTGAATGTATGTGTGTGTGCGCACGCTTTTGTATGCACACATATGTGTGTGTGTGGACATGCATGCGTACACACACGCGCACACGTGTTCACACGTGCTCTTATGACCACATGCTGACAATGGCCCTCCTGCTGTGCTTGCAGAGGCATTACGGGACGTGGTGGTGCTGATTCACGGAGGCGGGTTTGTGGTGGGGTCGCCCGACAGCCACGACCACTTGGCGCGGGAGATGGTGGAGGCAACTGGGGCCATGGTGGTGAGCGTGGACTACAGGCTTGCGCCTGAGCACAAGTTTCCTGCAGGGCAGGAGGATGTTGTCACGGTCCTCAACACCTTGGCCACGCTCGCCGAAGCGAATGAACAGCAACACCCATCCGCACCAGTCAATGTGCGTTGCATGTGTGTGGTTGAGTGCGTTGCATGTGTGTGTGTGTGTGTGTGTGTGTGTGTGTGTGTGTGTGTGTGTGTGTGTGTGTGTGTGTGTGTGTGTGTGTGTGTGTGTGTGTGTGTGTGTGTGTGTGTGTGTGTGTGTCGTCGTGATGCCTGACTCCTGTCATGCTGAGCTTGATCGCCTGCTTTGCAAAGGTTTTGTAGGTTGGTGTGTTGTTGTCTCTTTGCCGCCACGAAAAAATACTCACTCTCACTCACTCACTCACTCACTCACCCACTCACTCACTCACTCACTCACTCACACACACTCTCTCACACACACTCACACGCTCACTCACACACACACACACACCTCACTCACACTGATACGTGTGCACATCCCAGCCGCCAGATGTGGCTGCGTTGCTGGCCAGCGTGAAGCCGAGGTCGATTGTGGTGCTGGGCGATAGCGCAGGCGGCAACCTTGCTGTGACATCCCTGCTTCGAGCGCACTTGCAAAGCCTCTCGCTTGTGCACAAGCACGTGGCGGGGATGCTGCTGGCGTATCCCACGGTGCACACGTGCCACCACGAGCTGTACCAGAGCTTTGCCCGGTATGGACAGGGCTACCGCTTGACAGCGGCTGCCGTGGCCTGGTACGACCAAACCTATCTTGGAGGCTGCCGCATGCCAGCCTACAGCCCACAACAACAACAACAACAACAACAACAACAACAACAACAACAACAACAACAACAACAACAACAACAACAACAACAACAACAACAACAACAACAACAACAACAACAACAACAACAACAACAACAACAACAACAACACAAGCAGTTTGTGTCGCCTGCTGCTGCTGCTGCTGCGTCCGCCGCCACCATCAACAGCACCTCTATGCAAGTGACCCACCCTGCCCATCCGCTGCTGTCGCCGATTGAAGCGCCAGCACCGCTGCTGGCTGCCCTGCCGCCTGCAGCCCTGGTCATGGCCGAGTTTGATCCTCTGGTGGACGAAGGGGTGGCGTTTGCTGCGCGCCTGCGTGACGCTGGGGTGCAGGCCGACTCGCGCGTGTTTCCAGGCACGATTCACGGCTTTGTCTCCGTGCCGCTCGACCACCACGATGAGGCAATGTCGTTCCTGGCGTCATCAGCCACAGCCATGCTGGCCCGTTGATGACGCGCCGATGTTGATGTTGTTGTTGTTGATGATGATGATGATGATGATGATGATCTGTGTGAGTGAGCGAGAGCTAGTGAGTGAGTGAATTTAGTGAGAGAGTGAGGGACGTGAGTGAGACACACACAGACACACACACAGACACACACACACACACACACACAGACACAGACACACACACAGACACACACACACAGACACACAGACACACACACAGACACACACAGACACAGACACAGACACACACACACACAGACACACAGACACACACACACACACACACACACACACACACACACACACACACACACACACACACACACACACACACACACACACACACACACACACAAGGCAACCGCAACTTGTACCGTTTACGACACCATTAAAAGTAAGGAAAATTGACAGGAGATACCCATGCATTTTCTCGAATCTGCACAGGTGGGTTTTGGCGCTGGGCGCTTGGTGAGTCAGAGGAGGCGCTGTGGGGAAAAGAAGACTGGAGGGCAGTGGAGGCGATGATGGTGGCAGTGGGTGAGAGAGGGTGGCTGCACGCACTCGTGGATGAATGCATGTGTGTACGACTTGTGTACTGCGTGTGGATGAATGGATGGAAGCGTGAGCGATGTGTGCAATTGGACGGGGACCTGTGGAAGCAGCTTCGTGCTTTGCTGTCTTATTTTCGTGCCTGGTTGCTTCATTTCCCTTCCCTTCTCGACTTGTCTCTCGCTCACATTGAACGACGATTGTTTGGGTTGTGATTCGCGTGTTGTCATCTTCCTGTCTCGACATCCCCCCCCCCACACACTTCTTGCTTGCTCGCTCGCACGTCAGATTGCTTCAGGACACCTTTCCTTGTTCCTCGTCTTGTTCGATCACATCCCAAGAACACAACCAACACAATGGAGGCCGTCCACCACATGATTGTTGCTGCCATCCTGTCGCTGCTCCTCTTCACCCCCGGCGTAAGTTGCTGTGCTTGTTGTGCCCCTGCATCGATAGCGCTGTGCATGCACGTTGGCAGTACCAACCACAAGCACCCTAGCATGTGCCACCGTGCCACAAACCACCGCAACGTGTTGTGTCGTGCGACCTGCGTGGCTTTCTGGCAATTATTTGTATGCGTCGAGCTGGCAATGCGCAGTTGAATTTCCTCGTGCCTCCCAATCGCATCTCATGGTGCTGTTGTCGTTGTCCTCCCATTCACACTCACACACACACACACACACACACACACACACACACACACTCCCATTCACACACACTCCCATTCACACACACACACACACACTCACTCACTCACTCTCGTCTCATGCGGTGCGCTTTGACATTTCATTTGTGTTGCCCAGGTTGAGGCAAAGATGACGGCAGGCGATGTGATTGCACTCATCCTCGGTCTTGTGCTCGGAATCCTCGGCATCTGCGCGTGCCTTGGCTACTACGCACGGACACACCAGTAGGGCGGTGACAACAACAACACCAATTCTCTTCTCCCCTCCCCCCAACCACCGTGTCATCGTCTTTCGAAGCTTGTTTTTCCTCCTTTGTCGCGCGACTCGGCCCATCCGTGATGTCAGCGTGGTCTTGTCATAGCCCCATGATTGCCGTTGCAGCACACCAGCACGTGGTGTTCTTGTGTGTGTGTGTGTGTGTGTGTGTGTGTGTGTGTGTGTGTGTGTGTGTGTGTGTGTGTGTGTGTGTTGTGAGCGTGTGTTCTTCGCCTCTACTTGTGTGTGCCGTTGCTTGGGCGCAGTGCTGCTGCAACCTGTTGTCGCGAGTTGTTCTCGCGCCACTCTGCGCCTGCTGCCCTCGTCCATTGTGTGTGTGTGTGTGTGTGTGTGTGTCTGTGTGTGTCTGTGTCTGTGTGTCGTGCAGCGCTTGTGTCGGTTTGGGTGTGTGTGTGTTGGGTGCTTGTGGATGCGCGTGCCGTGTGTGAGGGCTCCAATGTTATCCGGGCCCCCGGCGTTGTTGCGTGCGTGTGGTTGATGAATTGTTGTCATAGCTAGTCGTCCACCAGTGAGCACGGATCGCTTGTTTGTTTTTTTCTGCTGCTTCTTTCCCTTTTCTCTTTCTCCTTTGCTGCACCATACTCTCTTGCCACAATACACACGAAAACCTGCACTGACATGACATGATGACACCCGTTTGCTGTCACAAGCTGGTTGTTATTGCATCACAGAAGTACATACAAGGGCACTTGGGGGGGGGGGCGAAATGAGGCGGGTGTTTGTTGCACGTGTGCACGTGTGCGGAAGAGTTTGAGGCAAGAAACGGGGTGGGGAGAGCAGGTCCGCCCACATGTGTGTGTCTGTGTGTGTGATTGCCATCTACATGAGCTTGTGCTCTGTGAGCAGCTGTTCCAGGACCGTTGGGTCCGTCAGGGTCTTCACTGCGCGCCAGCGCACTTGGCTGATGTGTGGATGTGTGAGGTGATTGGCGAAAGGGTTCACTGGTGAGGGACGGTCATCGAGCACCGAGGATAGCCTGCAGTCACACCCACACAGCTACAGTCACACCCACACAGCTACAGTCACACCCACACAGCTGCAATCACACACACACACACACACACACACACACACACACACACACACACACACACACACACACACACACACACACACACACACACACCTGCTCTCCTTTGGGCGGCCGTTGTCGTGCTCAAACTGGATGTAGCGCAGCCACAGGCGCGGGGACCACTGCACGCCACCAGAAGCGACACGAGAGGGTGATGGAGGATGTGCAGGCGCCGACGATTAGAGTGCGGGGACAAACCAACATGACCAGCGATGAACACGCATGAATACATGCGCACAGCAGTCTCAACACACATACACGGCACTGCGTACACACGTGCGTGTTCACACACACACACACACACACACACACACACACACACACACACACACACACGCACGCACGCACAGAGCAAGGCTTGTGCCTCTGCCCACCTTGCCGTAGCGGGAGACAGCCTCCTCGAAGATGTGGCGCACAGCAGCATCTGTGGCGTGGTGCTCAACCTCTTGGTCTGCCCACGTCAGATACAGCTCAAGCCCATACGCCTGCGTGCTCGTAATGCACCTGCAGTTGCGTGTCATGTGTGTGTGTGATTATGTGTACGTGTGTGTGATTATGTGTACATGTGTGTGTTTATGTGAGAGAGTGAGAGAATTTGTTCGTGTGTGTGTTGTGTGTGTGTGTTGTGTGTGTGTGTGTGTGTGTGTGTTGTGTGAGCAGGAGGCGTTGTGCATTGATGGATTGTGTCGCAATGTCAGGCATCAGCAAACCGCACCAGTTGACAAAGTCCCTTGCTGCCTTGAGCCCCTCCTTGTCCGCCACAAATTCAAGATGCGCGCAGCAGATGGCCTGGGCGTTGTCGCACCGCTTCGAAGCCGCCACCCTGATGGCATGTGGAGCGGGCAGAGCCGTGTGAGGATGACTGGATATCGACACTGAATGCATTCCACGCATGCACACGCACACAAATACACAAACAATGCAAACACACACACACACGCACACACACACAATGCAAACACACACAGAACATTCACGGCCCACGACACCATCGCACCTGACTGCCTGCTGCATGGCGGCAATGTTTCTCGCGTTTGCGTGCCACTGCCAGAGCGCAGCAGCAAAGTCGCCGGCCGCTCCCGCGTGCAGCGCCGTCGCCGCCTCCAACAGCACATCGGCCACAGCGGTGGTGGCAGTGGTGGCAGTGGTGGCAGTGGTGGTGATGGTGGTGGTGATGTTAACCTTGGCTTCCCACAGGTCTGCATTTTGCCGCAGCTCCTCGTCGCTGGTGGTCAAAACCGTTCGGGGGAGGAGATTGGTGTGTGGCGAGAGAGAGAGTGTGTGTGTGTGTATGCGTGAGTGAGATGCGCGTGAACTTTGAAGGGTACAAACACGCACACAAAGACACACTCACATACAAAACACAATACAAACACAATACACACACACAGATGTACATGAACGTACGCGAGGGCGCGGTTGATGGTGGCGAGGGCTTCCTCGTGCTGGCCTGCGTCCGTGTGTTCACGTGCGAGCTGAAGAACAGCGACAGCGGGAGCATTGCCGCCGATATCAATGTCCCCGACACCAGCTGCAGCGTTGACATACAGCAGGCACCTGTCGTGCAGCAGCTGCTTGGCAAGCGAGTGCAGGTTGTTGTCGTCGTCGTCATCGTCGGCACTCGTGTCTTTGTCGCTGGGTGCAAACGTGTGTACGGCATCCTGCAGCATCTCAATGTGCTTCGCCTTCAGCCGCGCTGCAGAGACAGTGTGCGCGTGTGTGTTGTGTGCGTGTGTGTGTATTTGAGGGGCATCATGTGAGGAAGCTGCGTGGGAACGCACACGTGTCAGCACGAACACATCAGATGACAACGGGTTTGAGCTGTGGGGGTGCAAAGTAAACCCCAAGTGTGTGAAGATGCAAATGTCACCCGCACGTGATGGAAGCTGGCCGACGGCGCGGAGGAAAAGCAGGTCGCTCATCTCCAGAGCCTCTTTCTTCTCCGCAGCCGTGAAGGTCGCATCTGAAGAGCAAGCGCACATTACCACCACACGCAGCCGGACCGACAACCGGTCAGGACAGCGATCCAAGCAGGCAGGCAGCACATGGCACTTGGAAATGCAGATACACACACACATGCACATACACACACATACACACATACACACATACACACACATACATACATACATACATACATACATACATACATACATACATACATACATACATACATACATACATACATACATACATACATACATACATACATACATACATACATACATACACACACATACATCCATCCATCCATACATACATCCATCCATCCATACATACACACATACATACATACATACATACATACATACATACATACATACATACATACATACATACATACATACATACATGCATGCATACACATGCGTGAAGGCGTGGTTCTTACCAATAAAGTGGTCGTCAAGGGGGCGGCGGCAGATGAGCTCAAGCGCATCAAGGTTGTCCACAGGCAGCGACTCGTACACCTGGAAAAATTTACAAGCAGATACGCCGTTTGGGGTGTTGGAGATTGGGCAAAGCATTAGGAGACAGCGAAATGGTTGGATACACACACACACACGCACACGTACCACACACACGCACACACACACACACACACACACTACATACTACATACACAGATGCACGCACGCACACGCACGCATTCGCACGCACCACTTCTCTGCTGGCTTCTGTGTGTGGGTAACAGCGGTAAATTTCGAGAAACTCGCGCCGAAAGTGCATGTCGTCAGGGTGTTGCTCTGGCGTTGATGCAAAGAGAAGACGCGAGGCACCAGTGAGCTCTCCATGTTGGAGCAAACACAGCCAACAACAAGCGATAATCGCATGCACGCGCATACACACATACACATACACATACACATACATAAGCACAAACACACCACGCACGCACCGATTGCGTTGAAGAAGACGAGGCGAGGAATGACGCCGGAGTAGAAGGTGCTGCCGGCGGCGTGGGCAGACTGCACAACAGATGCGCTTTCAGCAGCAGTCTCATCATCGTCATGGTCATCGTCACTGTCGTCCATCTTCCCAGACTCTGCATTGCAGTATCGCATGTACATACACATGCACGCACGCGTACGTGTGAGCATGTCGATGAGAACACACACACACAAACAAACAAACACACACACACACAAACAAACAAACAAACACACAAACAAACACAAACAAACACACAAACACACAAACAAACAAATAAACAAAACAAGCATACACCAGCCCGCACCCTTGAGGACGGTGGAGATCATATCCTGCGCCTCCTGCTGCTCCTGCTCTGCATCAAACAAGTCATCATCGTCGTCATCATCGTCGTCTTCGTCTGAAGCAAGGCCAGCCTCCTCCCTGTCCATGCGCGACACCACGCCGCTTGCTGCCTTGCTCCTCTGTGCGCCGTCAAGCCGAACTGTCGGTGCAAGCTCGGGGTTCTCATCACCGCCGCTGTCATTTCCCTCGTCATCATCATCGTCGTTCTTCTTCTCCCCTGATTTCCGCGATTTCTTCGCCTGCACTTGTTCGGCCTCCTGCATTTGTGTGTGTGTGCGTGCGTGTGTGTGCGTGTGTGTGTGTGTGTGTGTGTGTGTGTGTGTGTGTGTGTGTGTGTGTGTGTGTGTGTGTGTGTGTGTGTGTGTGTGTGTGTGTGTTGGGGACAAGTGGTGCGAGAAGGGAAGTGGATGAGCCAAAGGTGACGCAAACACACAACCGCACACACGCAAACATGCACGCGCGCGCTTACAATTGCGTTGACGTCGATGCCGAGAGTCTCTGCGCGCTTGAGCATCTTCTGCCAATATGCAACCTCCAACCGGAAGTACTCAAGCATCAACTCCTTTGAGCTCTTGTTCACGCTGGAGGGTGCGAGGAGGGATTGCAGGAAGGACACACAGCAGTGAGCAGTGAGTTGTGAGTTGAAAGCGAGTCGAAGGAGAGACCAGGCACCACACAAGCACACGCGACACGTGTCATTAACACATATGTACACACATGTGCACACATGTCATGTACACACACATATGCACACACACATGCACACACACACACGAACCAACCACAGGCCAGACCATATGAGCACTAAAAGCGCTTGTTGCCACTCACCGCAGGCCGCGCTGCAGAAGCGCACGTGCTGCGCGCGTGTTTGTGTTGGACCGGAATTCCCACTCTGCCGCGTCGATCCAGATCTCGGGGCAGTCGCCATGGTAGCGAAGACACTGCGCATAGGCCTTGCTCAGTCTGCGAAGGCTCCTGTGCTTCTTGCAGAATGCAAAGTACTGCTTCCACAATGCCACGTCGTCCTGAACACGCGCCGTCGGTGGTCGTTGAAAGTGGCGGGAAGTTCGTGAATATTGGTTGGAAGGTCATTGATGCTTGTAGAACGTTGGGACACAGTTGAACCGAATGCATTCGAAGACAGCACACTAACTTGCGGCCGTGTGCGTGAGCGTGCAAGTGTGTAGATGTGTGCATATGCAAGGACCAAGCGTGTGCACGGACACGAAGAGGGGTACAGAGCGAAAGAATTGAGGGGTAGGGTAGCAGCTGCCATTGTGAACCCCCCCCCCCCACACACACCTTGAACTTGACGAGGGCTTGGTAGTAGAGTGTGTGCAGTCCCTCGATGAGGGAAGTGTCTGAAAAGTAGCCGGAAACGTTGAGGCCATGTGCCTTCTTTCGTCGCTTCCTCAGCTCTTCAAGCTTTGTTTCATACTGCACGTTGTGCGTGCGCGCGTGTGTGCAGAGGGTGAACAGTTGCGTGTGCATATTGGAGAGAGGTGACGCCAAAGGATTGGGTCGCGATTGTGATGATGGCAGTGATGGCGGTGATGGCGATGATGGCGGTGATGGCGGTGATGGCGGTGAAGGTGGAACGCATTCAAGTGTAGTGGGGTGCGTCAGCTGAGAGCGATGCAGGCGCAATGCGGTGGTAGATCACATACATCGATGTAGGCGATGAAGTCGCTTTTCCTGGTGGTGCGCCTACGCAGCAGGTATTCATAGTGCTCACGCTTCTTGACGATTTTCCTGAGAGTGAGAGAGAGAGAGAGAGAGTGTGTGTGTGTGTGTGTGTGTAAGTGAGTGTGTGTGAGTGTGTGAGTGTGTGTGTGAAAGGCGATGCGAGTGCTAAATTCTTCCCCGCAAGTCTCCCCTCCATCATAGTCACAGACACATACACAATCACACACACGCACGCACTTGATTTCCTCTTGGGTGAAGATGCCAAGCTCAAGCAGGTCATGGAGCTCGCGTGTGCGCCGCTCCAGCTTGCCGCGCACTGCCTCAGCCATTGCTGTCGTTCAGAGGTGCGCGTGTGTGTGAGGAAGGTGTGCGCGTTGTTTGTGCACGTGGATTTGTGCTGTGCCGGGCTGGGCTTTCTAAACACGCCAGACACGATTTAATCGCAGTGGCAGTTTCTCTTCTGTTCTTTCTTCCCACCAGCCATCAGGCAGCAGCAGAGAATGAAGGTTGCGGTTGTGGTGTGTCGTGTTGGCGGGGTCCTTTGACGTGATGTGTGACACTGCTGCATCGAGACGCGCGCATGCATGCATGCCCACACCTCGCACACCCACCTACCACACTCATGTTCTCGTGCACGGTGTTCTTTGTAGGTGTTGTGCTTTCAGCGTGGGCTGGTGCCCAAGGATGTCACCGTTGCAAAGGGGGATCCGGTCTCCAAGCTGTTCGAGGCCGTGAACATTGTCGACAAGGACGCTGCGCGCGCTCTTCTGGTGCGCGTGTGTCTGTGTGTGCGTCGACATGTGTCTGTGTGTGTGTGTCTATGTGTCTGTGTGTCTGTGTGTGTCTGTGTGTGTCTATGTGTCAACATGTGCTGTTTGTCATGTCATCGCTCCAATACCCCTTCACACACACAACACACATACATACACAAAACACACGCACACAAACATACATACACACAAACATACACACACACACACACACACACAAACGCGTTGACACGTATTGAACAGCTCACTGGAAAGGGACGCATCGTGCTTAGAGGTGACGACAAGATCGACATTGACGACGAAACTTGTACGATGCTGCATTGCCACCAGCTTGCATGCGCGCGTGCCTATGTGCATGTGCACTTTGCTCGTGTGTTTGTCTACATGCGTCCGCTTTCCTTGCTTCTTCCCCACCACCGTCATCATGCTGCTGCTCTTGTCGACACATAGGCCGCGCGTTCATCACCATTCCCCACAACAAGGAAGATCTGCAGGATCGCCCAAAACCAGATCCACACTACAGGGTGAGACTTGCTGCAGGCCACAGAGCATTGATATGCGCGCGTCGCTTGTCGACCAGCGTGTTCTCACACCACCACTTGTGTGTTGTTGGTTTGGCTGTTCGTGACGCATGCGCATGTCTGTCTCAGCTCGAGAAGTCGACAATCAACCGCTTCACGGAGCACCTGAAAGACAAACCAAGTACGTGACGAGGTTGTGGCAGTTGTCACATGGTCTGCATGCTGTGCGCGGTCCACTAAGTTCTGTCAACCACCCTCGGCACTCACCCCTGCTCATCTGCGCACGTGTTGTCTGGACCAAGTTCCCGCCGGCCATACGGGTGCACTGATCCAGGTCAAGAACCGATCAAAGCAGGTACGGTTACGCCTTTGAGTGCTGTTGAAGCAGCGATTTTGGCTTCGTCAACAACACAACACAGCACTCCACAGCCAAGACACCCATCAGCTGCCACCAATCACACACTCGCTCGCACTCGCGCTCACGCTCACGTGCACACAGGAGCTGTTTGATGCTGTTGTGCCGCTGGTGATCAAAGCGGCGACGGCGCTGCAGATTCGCGCGGGAATTCGCGAACCACCATCAGCAGAGGAGCAGCAGAAGCAGGAGCAGGAGGAGGAGGCACAGCAAGGTGTGTTGCGGGGAGTGTAGCCTTGCACACATGCAAGCTGCTGATCGTGTTTTCACACCCAACCAAAGGTGCACGCACACCTGCAGCGTCTTCCATACAAGCACGTGTACACACACAAACGCACACACACACATACACACACACAAGATGCGCCGTACGATCCTATGAGCGAGGTTGACCAGTCGGCGCTGGCGATGGTGATGGAGGCTGGCTTTGAGCCGCAGCACTGCGTCAGAGCCCTCTTTGCATCAAGGTCAGCGCCTTGAGACAGCCCTCCTCCCTGTCATGTGTTCCTCACTGCTCGCTCATGCACTGAACAACGTGGCTCTCCCTTCCCACGCGTACATTCACACGCACTCACGTCCGCATATTGTTGTGCGTGCAGCATGAACCCCGAGCAGGCGGTGCTGTGGCTACTGGAGCACCAGGGCGACCCCGCCCTCGACAGACCAATCACCCCGCCCCCAAAGTGCGCCTTGTATGTGTATGTGTGTGTGTGTGTGTGTATTTGTGTGTGTGTGTGTGTGTGTGTGTGTGTGTGTGTGTGTGTGTGTGTGCGTGTGTGTGCGTGCTTGCGAACGTGCTTCTGCGCGAAAAGCATCCCCCCCCATTTCACGCATGATGTGTCTGGACTGTGCGCTGTCGTTGCACTCGCCCCCCCCCATCAGGCCCGTGACAACCAGACACGGGCGCAAGTTCCAGCCAGATGCACAGGCAAGCCACTTGTATGTGTGCGTGTGTGTGTGTACGTGTGTACGTCACCTCCAGTGCCACTATCATGTGCATGTCATGGCTCTCCTGCCTACAGCGCGTCGTAGCAGCCGCGTCCTCACGTGCTGCTGCTGTTGCTGCTGCATTGGCTGCTGCCTCACTGCAGGCGTTTCGCAAGCTGAAGGAGCTTGGCTTTGGTGACGACGACGTGGTGGCGGCGCTGCAGGTCACACGCAACAACTTCAACCAAGCGGTGCGCCCCCGCGTCCCTGTGTGTGTGTGTGTGTGTGTGTGTGTGTGTGTGTGTGTGTGTGTGTGTGTGTGTGTGTGTGTGTGTGTTGTGTGTGTTGTGTGTGTGTGTTGTGTGTGGTGTGTGTGTTGTGTGTGTGTGTTGTGTGAATGAGACCCAGCCCATTATGGTGACTGTGACGTCATGCCACACACCACAATCGCACCACCTCACATTGCCCCCACTGTCATGATGTGCCACCACCGCGCCACGCGCCAGTGCGAACTGCTGCTTGGCGGGGAGGACATGTCGGTGCTGCGACAGCAGGAGGCGCTGCCTGTCAAGAACTTGCTCAGGAACATCCTGAAGAGTCCAGCCGTGTGGGACGCAATGTTCCGACCAGAGTTTGTCCAAGGTCAGACCCGTGTGGGGATAGAAGGAGGGGGGGATTCTTATTGTGTGGTGTTGTGTGTGTGTGTGTGTGCATCTCTGTGTGTCTGTCTTGTCTGTTCAATCAAGGAGCCTGCCAATTTTGTGTATGCACGCTCGCGCGTTTGGTGCGATCGCTGAGCATATCCCACCCCCTGCATTGTCTGTGGTGCAGCGCTGGAGTTACTGCTGGAAAGCCACATGTACGAGGACGATGCAGACAACAACGCATGCATTGCCCAAGGCCTCCGTGATCTCACAGACGTAAGACACACACACGCACACGCACACACGCACACGCACACACGCACACACACGCGCGCGCGTGCTGACCTTGTCCAACCACATGCCCAATTCCCCCGCGTGGACAGACGCTGTCGCGGTTTGAGCCTGAGGTTTACGAGCGGGACGAGCAGGCGCAGTTTGAGGACAGCGGGCTGGACTACGCTGTGCAGCAGGGCGCTGACGGCCGCACAGACGTGTACCATCGCCTGCTGGAGCGAGTGCTCGGGCAGTCGCCGCTGGACGCGTCGCGGGCGCGAGTGGTGCACGACTTTTTCGATTTCGGCGAGCCGAGTGGGTACGTGTTTAATAACGACCGAGAACCCGAGAACGTGGATCAGATGGACGGGTTTCGGGCTGCGCGGCAGTTTGCGAGTGCACTGGTTGAGTCGCAGGACGAAGAAGAAGACGATGAATACAATGATGAGGATGAAGAGAACGAGGAGGAGGAGGAGTATGATGAGGACATCAACGACGGCACCACTGACGCATAATGCCATGCAGCAATCGTGGCGTTGTGTGTGTGTGTGTGTGTGTGTGTGTGTGTGTGTGTGTGTGTGTGTGTGTGTGTGTGTGTGTGTGTGTGTACTAATCGGTGTGTTTTTTTGCATGTGTTGTGATTGTGTGGTTGAGCCTTTTATGATTGCCTCGTGTGGCTGAAAGGTGGTGTGGTTCGTTGCGAGCCTTTTCACATATACAACAAGCCAGCAACACACGACAGTCAATGCCCCACCGCGCAACGAAAGTGCCGCCACCCGTTGTGTGCGTGCGTGTGTGTGTGTGTGTGTGTGTGTGTGTGTGTGTGTGTGTGTGTGTGTGTGTGTGTGGCAGCAGTTACGTGTGCAGCAGGTGCTCCAGTACACCGTCCTCTGCTGCCGAGCACAGCTCATCCACTGCGTGATAAAACGCCTCATCGTCATCATCATCATCGTCGGCATTGCTGCTGTCACCATCATTCAGCACGCTCACGCCCGCGCTGCTGCTGGTGTTAGCGCTTCTGCTGTTTTCGTCGTCGTGTGCGTCGACAGGCGTGTCGAGGAGCGCGTGGCTCTTGAAGGGCAGCAGCGATACGGGCAGGCAGCGGTCTAGCGATTTGAATTGCGCGGCGCGGCAGTCCGGGTCGTAGCACTTCTGGTAGTACACGCCCGTGAGCAGATTCACAACATAGTACACGCCGTTGCTCTTGTGCTCGCGCATGACATGGTGGCAGTAGCGCGCGTGTGCAATGTCGTAGGAGATGACCTTGCTGGCCGGAAACAACGTCCACCTGCGAATGCTCGCTTGGCGCGCTGCCCCACGACTGGCAACACGGACAATGAAGGCATCCACGTCCGGGTACGGCGTGGCTTCGTACGACCCTGTGCAAGTAGTAACCGGTTGATGCGAGGATGAGGCGCGCGTGGGCGTGCGTGTGTGTGTGTGGGGGGGGGAGCGCTGGGAGGTGCAAAGTGCAAGTGCGCGCACGAGACAGACTCGCACCTAAAACATGCATCACACCAACATCCACACACACACACACACACACACACACACACACACGCACACACACACACACACACACACACACACACACACACACACACACGCACGCACGCACACACACACGCACACACACACACACACACATTTGCACCAACCTGGCGAGACAGTCTGCGTGATGGCGGTGCCACTGTGATCTTTGCTGGCTGCCATGCTTAAGCGTTGAGAGGCATCACAGCCACCACGACTGATATTACTTCCCGCTCGCCCACCAGCGCCATCCGTGCACGTCAGGATGCGCGTGTCTTCCGTGTACTCAACGTTGCACACCAGCGAGCGTTCAAATACTTGATGGTGCCACGCCTCCGTGCCCGCCCGCGCCGTGATCTGCGCACTGCAATCCCTCGCAAGCTGAAGCACTGCTGTCTTGCCCTGCTTTGATGACAGGTACAGCCGGAACGTGCGGTTGCGCGTGTACACACCAAGGTCAACAAACCACACCAGGTTGCCGTGCTCGTCTCGCACCTTCAGGTTCATGCCCTTTTCTCTCGCATGCCCCGGAACGTTGTCTACGTCAGCACTACAACTCCCTCCAGTGCCATCGCCACTCCCTTCCTGCTGGCCGTCGTCATCATCAGCTTCACCACCGCCACCCCTTTCAGCACCTTCACCATCACTCCCACCATCAACACCAACACCATCACTCCCAACACTAACACCAATACCATCACCGTCAGCACCTCCGTTGCTGCTGTTGGCGTCAAGTCCATGCTGTTCTGTGTCAATACATGTGGTCCGCGGTATACTGTCTCCGCCTTGATCATCGCTGCCGCTGCTGCTGCGCCGATGCGATGCGTAGTGAAGGTCGTGCACGGCCTGGCGCACAAAGGCGCCCACGTGCCGGTTGTTGCGGAACGCGGCGTGTGGCGCGCGGATCGTCACGTGCCGCGAGAACTTGGTGGCGGTCGTGGAGTCCAGGATCACTGCATCCTTTGGTGTGCATCTGAGCTTGTAGCGCTGGTTCATGCGCCGGCACAGCAGCTCAACGAGCCGGCGTGTCAGGGCTGCGCCGTCCACATCGGGGTTGTGCTCCCTGGCGTACTCCAGGTCCAGGTAAAGGTGGCAGGGGCTGTCCTGCCGAATGAGCTCGTAGTGGTGCCGCTGCTTTGGCGGAAGGCTGTAGTAGCGGGACCAGAAGCGCTCGTTGCTCACGAGGAACCGCCGCTTGCCCTGCGTGGAAGTCTCCGTCTCAAACGCGTACACAGACAGAGGTTGCGAGCACGTGGTCACGAAGTCAAACGCCATCTGCTGCAGCGGAAACGTGCGCCACACCAGCGACGGCGCAAACAGGTTTCCTTGGTCCGGCACCTGTGCATATCCTTCTGTCTTGGATGCTTCGCCGGCGGCGCGATATTCTTCCAGTTTGGCCAGCCACCGATCGTTGCGCCTGCATGAGTGCATGAGTGTGCATGTGTGCATGAGTGAGCATGTGTGCATGAGTGTATGTGTGTGTGTGTGTGTGTGTGTGTGTGTGTGTGTGTGTGTGTGTGTGTGTGTGTGTGTGTGTGTGTGTGCATGTCTGCCCTGTATGTCTCTAAGCTGCGCTGAACGTGCGCTCATCATGCTGGTTGCTGTGGTGCTGCATTCAACACTGCAGGCGGCAGTGTGTGGAACATACGCGGCTTGTGGTGGTTCGTTGGTGGCGGGGTCGGCCGCTTCCTCCCTGCGTCTACCCTGCGACACCTTTGCCCGCTTGTAGAAAGAGGAAGGGGCAATGGTGCGTGTGCCGTGCCTTGCCTCCTTCCCACGCCCCTCTGCTCCACGCTCGTGTTCCTCGTCTTCCCATTCTCGCCACACCATCATCCTCGTCATCGCTCCTGGTCCGAGAAAATAACGGGCAACAACCAAGATGCAACGCTTGCTGCTGATGATGATGTGGATGGTGGTGCTGGTGGTGGCGATGTGTGGTGGATGGAGCGAAGGAAAGTACCCAAGCTGCATGGGGAGAGGGTACTTCTACAACGACGACATCTGCGTGTGCCACCCAGGGTACCACTCAATTGGGCTGTGGTCGGACGTATATTCGATGGGCAACAGCGGCGTGTCCCGGCACGGGTATGCGCGCTCGTGCTGCCGTCACTGCTACTGCACACCACCCGGCTGGCCGGAGCTGATGAGCACCGCGCACGTGGGCAAGCGCAACCACCACGCAGACGTGCGACCGCTCGCCATCAGGGACGACAGAGAGGCTGTGCTGCAGGACATGCACGTGCGACGCGCCGTTGCCGACGACGCCACCAGCAGCAACAGCAGAAGCCACAACAACAACGTTGATCTGAACATTGCCGTGTCACTGGGCGCCTTTGATGAGCTTCAGCCTCGCTTCCCAAGCTGCGTTGTGCCGGGGTATGACGCGGAGGCGCAGGTCACGGAAGAAGAGGGTGTGGCGCTGGCGCGGTCGTTTGTGGACGGGTGTGCATCAAAGTGGGAGTGGGCGCGGCAGTTTCACAACCCCATCAACGTAAGCAAGCTCAGTGTATGTGTGTGTGTCTGTGTCTGTGTGTGTGTACCTGTGTATCTGTGTGTGTGTGTGTGTGTGTGTGTGTGTGTGTGTGTGTGTGTGTGTGTGTGTGTGTGTGTGTGTGTGTGTGTGTGTGTCGATGACCTCGACTCTCTCTAGTGCTGGCTTTCTGCTTCATTCACGCTGCTTGTTGTCTGGTTCGCACACAACGTGTCCACATTTCAGCACCGCGCGGTTGTGCTTGCTGCATGGGTGACTTTCCGACCAGACGGGCAGCGTAACCATACCATCAGCTGCCATGACATCGGCTACATAGCCCAGTGCGTTTGATGCGGTGCACGTGTGCATGTGTGTGTGTGTGTGTGTGTGTGTGTGTGTGTGTGTGTGTGTGTGTGTGTGTGTGTGTGTGTGTGGTGGTGGTGGTGGTGATGGTGGTGGTGGTGGTGGTGGCACAGGGACGAGTAGTTCAGCTGTGTCAATGCTGCATCAGCTCAACCCCCCCCCCCCAAACTTGGTTACAACGCCGCTCCACACGCAGGTGGTACGAGAGCGTGATGACGATGGGCTTGCCGGCCATCCTCTTCCACGATTGCGCGTCTCCACGCCTTGTGGATGCTCTCACGAACCATCTCGTTAGGTGCAGCCCATGTTGCATGCGCGTCTGTGTATGTGTGTGTGCGTGTGCATCTCTGTACCTCCTGTGTACCTCCTGTGTGCCTCCGACGTGCGCCAATGTGCACCAGGAAGGGACTCACGTGCCACATTTGCCCCCCCCCCCTCACCCCGCCGGGTTTCGCTTGTGCAACCGCGTGTGCAGGTTTGAGAAGGTGCAGCTTGACCCGAGCTCCGACATCCACTTCAAGCAGTCGCCCAACGACGTGCGCTTTGTGCTCTTCAAGGAATATCTCGACCGCTCAGACGCCGTCTACGACTTTGTGCTCATGACAGACCTCCACGACGTCAGGTGTGTTTGTGTGTATGTGTGTGTGTGTGTGTGTGCGTGTGTCTCCCTCTGTCTGCTGCTTTATTCTCGCCTCTTCCACCACAACTTTCCTGATTGTAACACACACACATGTACACACACACACACACAGAACGACCATCCATCCAACTCATCCACTGCCCCGCCTCGCCCCATACCGTGCAGGTTTCGGCGTGACCCGTTCTCTGCAATGCGCGCGCGCCCGGATATCGAGATCTTCATCGGCGCAGACCGTTACGCCTACAAGAACAACCCGTACGTCGTCTGGTGGTGATGAACAGCAGAGCACCTGCTGTGTTGCTGTTACCGCTCTTCACACGAGTACCGCTGCATGCCTCGACCTGGCACACATCCACGCAAACACACACTTTCGCACACACATCACACACACACACACGTACGCACACACGCACACACATCGCACACACACACACACACACTTACGCACATCACACACACACATACACATACGCATACAGGTTCACGTGGGAGGTGCTGGAGTGGTGCGCGGAGGCGTATGGGCAGCTGCCCTATGAACCATGGTTCGGGGACGCCATGACCCTCAACTGCGGTGTCGTTGGCGGCAAATACGACGCTGTCCTCCGCCTGCTCACACACGTTGTCAAGCTGTACTCCGAGCGAGAGTTTGAAAAGCACAGCTGCCGCGAGCCGTGGCAACGCTACTGCGACATGGCCATGTTTGCCATCGCCCTCATGACCGGATACGAGACACTGTATGCCGATCCAGCGACCACACCGCCAACGCACCTCTATCGCTATGACAGCGGGCCACCCTTCACCAGCTTCTTTGCAGATGAGACACCCTCCCAGCCCTATTATGTCATCCACAAGTAACGGATTTGTCCGCGCGTACATGTGTGTGCATGTGCACGAGTGCATAATTGATTGACTGAGCTCTCGTCATGCTGTGGTATCAGTTACTGCTGTACATATGCATCCACTTGACTGAGTTTGTAGACACAGTTAGCATGGTGAAGCAATTGTTTAGAAGAGCAACTACCAGAGGTTTCATTACACGAAAGTGCTCGATATACAGACGTGCTCACTTAAGGCTACGCATGTGTCAGAACGGCGAACAGACGGAAAGGAAGCAAGCAAGCACGAGGTGTGCGTGCAAACTCGTCAAGAAAGGGCTGTCACGTCACGTCAATTACACGGCACACGTGTCGGTGACAGCAATTGCACCACAGCACGCTTCGTCGTGGCACGATGATGTGAGGGGGAGGTATCCTGATGCGCCAGCACCAATCAACATGCGCCGTGCGGATCACTTGTGGATGACATAATACGGCGGCGACGAGACGTGAAGCGTGAAGGGACTTGTGAATGGGACGCCGCTGTCAAACCTGAATGGCTGCTGCAGCGCCGCCCACGACCCGTCATCTGCGATGACGTCCTCGTGCAGCGTCTCGTATCCGGTCATGAGGGCGATGGCAAACATGGCCATGTCGCATGAGCGCTCCCATGGCTCCATGCACGCGTGCTTCTCGTAGGTTCTTTGCTTGTACAGCTTGACGACGTGTGCCAGCAGCCGCACGGTTGACGCATATTGGCCCCCGACGACCCCGCAGTTTGGCGGGATTGTGTGTTGGAAGGCTGGGTGGTGGAGCAGTGGCGCATACGCCGGCGCACACCACTCCAAGTACTCCGACACATACCTGTGGGTTTGCGCGCATGTGTGCGCGCGTGTGTGTGATGGAGAGTGTAACCGTGAGAAAGAGGGGGGGGGAGAGGGTGTGTGTGTGTGTGTGTGCGTGTGTATGTGTGTATGTGTGTATGTGTGTATGTGTGTATGTGTGTATGTGTATGTGTGTGTGTGTGTGTGTGTGATGGAGAGTGTGAGATACGTAGATGTGTGTGTATTTGAAAGAGAGAGCATGAGGAGCGCTACCGGCTGAAGGCCAATTCAACTCACGGATTGTGGCGAAAAGAAAGTGTTTCAGCGCCGATGAAGATCTCGACATCCGGGCGCGCGCGCATCGCAGAGAACGGATCACGGCGAAACCTGCATGATACGGGGTGGGGCGGTGCGGTTAATGAGTCGGATGGGGTGGGGTCGGTGGATGAGTTGGATGGAACAGGAAGCAACGACATGAGATGCAAGAAACACTGCTCTTGAGTGCTTGTACACACACACGCACACACACGCACACACACGCACACACAAACACACACGCACACACACCTGACATCGCTCATGTCTGTCATGAGGACATGCGTGAGGTGCTGCTGCTCGCTGCGGCGCAAGTACTCAGAATAGAGCACAAAGCGCACGTCGTACGGCGACTGCTTAAAGTGGATATTGGAGCTCATATCATGCTCCACCCGCTCAAATCTGATACAGCCACGACAGGCCACGTGGTAAATGTGAGCGGGCGTCTTGCGACTACCCACAACTTCAAGCGGCCTGAGCACCACACGTCTGCTGGGGTGCCACAAGGAGCGCCATGGGGGTGACGCAAGCAGGCAACATCGGTGGACCAGCCACTCGTGCACGCATATTTGTACACATACATATGCAAGCAAGCAAGCTGCTGCGATTGAGAGGCATGCGTGAAGCAGCACAGGGCGTACGTGATATTGTCGTTCTGCAAGGCGGCGACGAGGCCTGGTGACAGGCAGTCGTGGAGCACTACGGCACGCAGCCCCATGGTCATGATAGACTCGTACCATCCAGCAATGTACGCTGGGTTTGTGCAGCCCAAGGTGTTGTATCGCTGCGTATCTGGGCGGAACGACATCCACGATGACAGCACCAGGGTATCTCGCTTACAAGGCATTGCAAAGCACAAGGAAGTGTGTGAGGTAGGGGATGTGACATGGTGGAAGACAGAGGGTGGTGCTCTCGCAACGAAGCGCTGAGGAAGAAGCAAGAAAGGAAACACAACAGCAGCAGGCGCGATACCATGCGCGATTGTAGTTCAAAGAACACGACGACTCACCACACAAGGAGAAGGATACCACACACGCACACACGCACACACACGCACACACATACACACATACACACACACACGTACACACACACACGCGCACACAGACGCACTGAGCTTGCTTACGTTGATGGGGTTGTGAAACTGCCGCGCCCACTCCCACTTCGATGCACACCCGTCCACAAACGACCGCGCCAGCGCCACACCCTCTTCTTCCGTGACCTGCGCCTCCGCGTCATACCCCGGCACAACGCAGCTTGGGAAGCGAGGCTGCAGCTCATCAAAGGCGCCCAGTGACACGGCAATGTTCAGATCAACGTTGTTGTTGTGGCTTCTGCTGTTGCTGCTGGTGGCGTCGTCGGCAACGGCGCGTCGCACGCGCATGTCCTGCAGCACAGCCTCCCTGTCGTCCCTGATGGCGAGCGGTCGCACGTCTGCGTGGTGGTTGCGCTTGCCGATGAATGTGTTTCTCACAATAGCCCATGGGTCGCCACAGAAGCAGTGCTTGCAGCAATTCTTGTTGAAGCCGGTTGAAGAGACAGGCGGGTCGAAGGCATACACCAGCTGGCCCCGCGCAAGCTGCTGCTGCTCCCGGTTGCAAATGCACATCTGCGTATCGCGGTAGTAGTGGCCATGTGGCTCGCACGGCCAATGCACGCCCTCGCAACGCACGGCCAGCACCAGCACCGCAGCAACCGCTGCTGCAACCACACCACACCACCACCCCTCGCGTGTCAGCATCGCTGTTGTGTGCTGTGGTCAGCGCTGTTGTCCTACCAATCCATCCCACAGAAAAATCGCGCACTTCTCGCCTTCAAGTTGTGCAGGTGTGTTTACCTGTGTTTGTGTGTCGTGCGCGTGTGTGTCGTGGACGGCGATGTTGGTGGCGATGCTGCTAGCGCGGTGTGGCCGCAGCGCCGTGGCTGTTCGCGGTGCGGCCGCTGGACTTGGGGGACGTGGTGCGGTGGGAAGCAGGCGCATGGTTGCTGCTTCTGCTTCTGCTGTTGCTGCTTCTGCTGCTGCTGCTTCTGCTGCTGCTGCTGCTGCGCAGGCGTGGCAACAGCGACAGCATGTGCAGCTGGCCACCCGTGGTCGTGGGTGCTGCTGCTTCATGTCAACGACATCAACACCACAAGACATGCGTGGACACGACGAGCACAACGGCGACACGACGAGCACCGCAAGGGACGTGCAAGTGCATGGAGGAGGCGAGGGCGGATCGCCCGTACGCGGCGCAGCTCCACTGCCGCCGGAGGTGGAGGCTCGTGTGCGCGACGTGCTGGGTGGAACGAGCACGCGCGAGCTGGCGCAGGTGGTGCAGCTCGCCCAGGACGAGGAGCAGCTCTTCAGCATCGTCGACGTCATCGTACAGAACCAGGTCAGTACATTGGATGGAAGAAAGATAGTGGGGGTGTGCGTGCGTGCGTACATGTGTGTGTGTGTGTGTGTGTGTGTGTGTGTGTGTGTGTGTACACGTGTGTGCATGCGCGTGTGTACACGTGTGTGCATGCATGCGTGAATATGCTCGGCCAAGTGCGTGTATGCGCTCAAGCAAGTGGATGCGCTACACCTCTTCGTCGAGAGCACACATGCACATACACATGCTCACACTGACGCTGCCGCTCTTGCTCACGTACACGGTCTTTCACACACACACACATACACAAATGTGGTAGCCTGCTCGAGGCCATGTGAAGTTTATCAATGCAGTGCTCAACCGCATGGATGAGCTGAACGCCGATGTGGAGGTGCACTTCTACAACCGCCTGCTTGAAGTGTTCCCAGTGACAAACACGTGAGTGCGCCAGCGTTGCTCATGCGCATGCATGCGCTTGTCCATACCGTGACCTACGTTTGCCCGCACGCGCGCACACGACGCTACATTGCACACGTATACATGCTTTCATGCACCTGCGTTCGTGCCCACACGCCCACACGCATGCACGCACCTCGGTGCTGTGCAGGTACAAGACCAAGTCGCTACTGGATGCGGTGTGGCCGCGGCCGAGTTTACAGGTTGACGCAGCACTCAAGGTGCTGAATCGCATGGAGAACGAGGGCGTCATGCCCAACGGCCACACCTTCCACTCCCTGATGGAGGTCAGGGGCATCGTGTGTGTGTGTGTGTGTGTGTGTGTGTGTGTGTGTGTGTGTGTGTGTGTGTGTGTGTGTGTGTGTGTGCGTGCATGTGAGCGTGTGTGTTCACCTGTGCATGTGTGTGTGTGTGTGTCTGTGTATGTGAGTTTCATGCAAGCGGGATTGTTCGAGCTTTGTGTGCACCTCTTCATCCCTTCTCCCTCCCCCGAATTACTCCACCTCACTCGATCCATACCCCCCCCACACACACACAGGTGTTTGGCCGAGCGAGCCAGCCCATCAAGAAGGTGCGGAGCATGGGGTACTGGATGCGCTACTTCATGGACTCCAACCCCTTCTCCATCTCCATGCTGCCTGAACGGCCCCGCAACGAACGCGCCTTTATGCACTACACCGCCCAGCGCATTGGCGGCGAGGCGTCCACCTGCCACGGTGTGTGTGTGTGTGTGTGTGTGTGTGTGTGTGTGTGTGTGTGTGTGTGTGTGTGTGTGTGTGTGTGTGTGTCTGTCCTGTTTGCCTGTCGGTGGGGGGGTGGGTCTGGGGGTGAGGGTATGTGTGTGTTGTGTGGTGGGCCTGTGCGTGTGGTGTGTGTGTGCGTGTGCGCGTGCATGTGTTTGTATGTGTGTTGGGTGGTGGGAAAGCAAAAAGATATCTCTGATCCATCCAACGACGACACAACAAACACCCCTGCCTCATTCATTCCGCCACCACCTGTGCGACGCACGACAAAGGACAACCTCCACAGGACGCGGACACTCAGGCCGGCAGCCAAGTGCGGGGGGTCGCCCGAGGGAACAGCCAACACACGGAGACGAGGAGACCACGACGATGATGCAGGCCATGGTTCAGCAGCATGGAAACAGGACGGATGCTCGAAGAGATTGGATCAGGTACACTACCCCCTGCTTGTGCGTGTGACTGCGTGTGTGTGTGTGTGTGTGTGTGTGTGTGTGTGTGTGTGTGTGTGTGTGTGTGTGTGTGTGTGTGTGTGTACACCAGCATGTGTTTGTGTAGTCGTCAGTGTGTGCTTGTGGGTCGAGATGGCATTACGGTTTGGATGCGCTCGGGTGCTCACGTTGATGCGCTCGGGTGCTCACGTTGATGCGCTCGGGTGCTCACGTTGATGCGCTCGGGTGCTCACGTTGATGCGCTCGGGTGCTCACGTTGATGCGCTCGGGTGCTCACGTTGATGCGCTCGGGTGCTCACGTTGATGCGCTCGGGTGCTCACGTTGATGCGCTCGGGTGCTCACGTTGATGCGCTCGGGTGCTCACGTTGATGCGCTCGGGTGCTCACGTTGATGCGCTCGGGTGCTCACGTTGATGCGCTCGGGTGCTCACGTTGATGCGCTCGGGTGCTCACGTTGATGCGCTCGGGTGCTCACGTTGATGCGCTCGGGTGCTCACGTTGATGCGCTCGGGTGCTCACGTTGATGCGCTCGGGTGCTCACGTTGATGCGCTGGGGTAATTACGTTGACGTGCTTGTGCCTTTGTGGTGGACGGCGTGAAGCCGCTTGCACGAGTGCCTGCCTGGACCGGACCATGGAGGCGGTGGGGAAGAAGAGGAAACAACGCTGCTCCTCAACAAGATCCACACATTGCTCAAGGCCCACGGACTCGACCACGCACCGCACACCGCGCGCCAGCACTCCCCAAAGAAATCAGGCCACTCGTTGGCCGCCCTCGCGCTGCTGCAATACACACAGGCGTCCCAGTCCTACCTCGATGCCATGTAAGGGCGTGGCGGCGAAACTGTGTGTTTCCCCTTTGAACCTGGAGGAAGCAGCAACTCACGCTGCTTGTTTTGCACAAGTCTGCTTGTTGTGCACAAGACTGTTTGTTTGCACAAGGCTGTTTCTTTTGCACAAATCTGCATGCCACCACGCTGTGTCACAATGCACTCCTCCGACCTGTTTGCGCGCCTGTGATTCATCGTTTCCATGCACGATTATGCACACAACAGGAGCAGCGCCTCTGTGACAGATGCCGTGTTGGAGGAGCGTCACCGCAGCGTGAGGAGTTGGCATGGAAGCCACTCCAAGCGCAGCAGCGTGGGTCGCAGTGGCCATGACGACGACAACGAGGCTGATGATGACGATGACAGTGGCCGTGATGGTGCTCAGAGTGGCACAAAAGCACCAAAGCTGAGACACCCTCACCAGGTTTTCCTCGGTGGCGCGTGCAACCCGACAACATGGCGACGCGACGTGGCCATCCCGTTCTTGGAGCAGCACGACGTGACATATTACAACCCACAGGTGGATGAGTGGTATCCGGAGCTGATGCAAGAGGAGGAGAGGGCCAAGCAGGCTGCAGATGTGCTCTTGTTCGTCTTTGATCACACCACACGTGGCGTCGCGTCCATGGTCGAAGTCGCTGTCAACGCCGGTGTGTAGTTTGTCTGTGTGTGTGTGTGTGTGTGTGTGTGTGTGTGTGTGTGTGTGTGTGTGTGTGTGTGTGTGTGTGTGTGGCTGGCGGCATCTATTTGTGTGTGTGTATCTGTATATGTGCGTGTCGTGGTTGAACACACATGCCCACCTCACCCCGCACCGCTTCCTTGTTCTCTGCAGCCACGCGGCCGCAATCGCTCGTCGTTGCGCTGTCGCCGCTCCCGCCGCATTCCGTCATCTGCGGAGAGCAGCTCGACCAGAGGCAGATTGACGACATCAACAGGTCCCTGCACACGCCACATGCATTGTGTGTACTTGTACGTGTGTATGTGTGCGTGGTAATGTGTGTGTGTGTTTGCTTGAACCAACTGACATGTTTGGATTGAACCAATGAATATGCTCACCCCCCCCCCACACACACACACACCATGCAGGGGACGCGCCATCCTGCGGACGTTACTTCGAGACGAGGGCGTGCCCGTGTTTGCGTCCATCCAAGATGCGCTCACATACACAGTCTGCGCAGTCCATCGCAATAGCCGCCCAGCCACAGAAGGTGCGGCCTTGCTTGTCTTATGTGCGTGTGTGTGCGTGTGTGTGTGCGTGTGTGCGTGTGTGTGTGCGTGTGTGCGTGTGTGTCGAGGTGTGTTGAAGTGTTTCTGCGCGCTTGTTTTGCATCGCTCTCCCCCTCCCCACACACCACCACCACCACCACACTTGCTCTTGTTGTATCCGCTGCCCCCATTCTCATGCATGCCCAATGTCCCCATCCTATGACCTGCGGGGCCCGTCGCTCGAATTTGACCAGGCGATGACGTGGTGTTGCCGGCTGCTCGCCTGCTCTCCCATATCCAAACCGCTCTTGCAATGCACAATCCCACGAGCACCACCACCACCACTACCACCACCACGAGCAGCAGCAGCAACAACAGAGGAGGTCGTGACAAAGGCAGTGATGACGATGGTCATGTGTTGGCTTTGAAGCGACGAAGCAGTTACGATGCTTCTCTCCCCTTCCATCTCACTGTCCAGGTGGGCGGGCGGTGTGTGCCCTGTTGGCCTGATGTGTATTTGCTTCGTCATTGCAGTGATTAGCTGCTCCTCTCGCCTGCAACACGGCCTCGAACGCGATGCAAACCTCCCCAACAGTGTCAACACAACCAAACAGCACACACACACACACATTCAGCCGACCAACAAGTATCAGTCGGCGCACTCACCCATTCCCCCCCCCATCTGCCTTTCATCCTCCCAATCGTCCTTGCTTCTTGGTGCACGTGCGTCCGCAGGATGTGCAACGGTGTTTGCGTGTCCTATTTGGAGAGGACGTGAGCAAGGATGAGCTGGCGTCGCTTATTGCTGCGCTGCCCTGCGCCCCACAGCCGGCGGAGAAGAGGGACAAGGGCGACGATCACGTGGGCGTGTGCACGTTTGTCGTCCTGTGTGCATGTGTTGCGAGCACGCAGCACGTGGTGTCGCAGGACCGCTTTGCGGACTGGCTGTCCGATGTTGGCATTGCACATGGAGACGGTAAGATGGCATGGCATGCCTCATACTCTCACCTCCGAGATGCGAACTCACACACACACACACACACACACACACACACACACACACACACACACACACACACACACACACACACACACACACACACACACACACGCGCGCGCGCGCGCGCGCCCGGACATGCTGGCGCAATGTTGTAATGTCTCTCACACTCATCTCTCACCCTGACCTGGCACACACGCACACACCTACAACTCACACATACATTCACACGTACACATTCACACACACACACTCTCTCTCTCTGCCTCTTCCGTCCATCATTTCTCGGGCGTGTGCAGGCGCCGGCGAGGATGTGCTCGCGAGTGACGTCTACTTGGGCGGCACGTGCGGGGATTCGCAATGGCGAACCGACGTGCAGGAGCAGCTGAGGTTGGTTCTGACGACACTGTCACACGCCTTTCTCGTTGATGGTGTGGCACACACACACACACACACACACTCTCTCTCTCTCTCTCTCTCTCTCTCTCTCTCTCTCTCTCTCTCTCACTCTCTCACACCACCTCACCCACCACACCATCACCACGCGTTGACGTGAACACCAGGCGGGCCGGACTGTCGTCGTTCAACCCGAGCATTCCGCGGTGGACAGCGGATATGATACCGCTTGAGGCGGCCGCCAAGCGCCGGTGTCGCAGCATGCTCTACTTCATTGGCAGCGAGACGCGCGCCGTGGGCTCCCTGGTCGAGGTGCGCTGGAGAGTGTGTGAGGAGTGGGAGTGGTGGGTGGTGAGTGGTGGTGGCTGGTGGATGTTAAGTGCTGTTCTTTGGGAGTACCAGAGCTGATGTTGTGGTTGGTGACCGTACTGATGTTGCACGCTGATAAACACATCACGTACACATGTACACACTCACATGCGCACGCACACGCACGCACACACACACACACACACTCACTCACACTCACTCTCACTCTCACTCTCTCACATCTTACGCCTCAGGCCGCGTACTATGTGGGCAAGGCTCGGCGCGCATTTCTTGCTGTGGAGAGCATGACACCAGGGACGACGATCGACGACCACATCCTCACGCCGCTCGAGCTCAAGGACTTCAACCGCGGCCGCTCGTATCTCCGTGACGCCGCCAGCCAACACGGCGTGCACGTATACAGCGATCTTGCGTCATGTGTTGCAGAGACTATCCGCTGCCTCCGCACGGCATGATGATGATGATGATGATGATGATGATGATGATGATGATGATGATGATGATGATGATGATGATGATGATGTGATTGCGTGAAGCCATGTGAAATGGCACATGTACGTTGCATGTTACACCTCCGGTCCGCTGTTTCACCTCTTTTCGTGTTGAATGTGACAGGAGGTTCTGGGTGTACACACTGTTGAGCTTCGGCAGGGCTCGCTGTCGCAAGTTGTCCATATATTGTTGGCCTGTTACATTGTCCCAACAGCGTGCCTGTTGCTCTTGTTTTCCTCCTCTTCTTCATTGCTCTGTCCACTTGAACTTTTGTTGATTTGTACAGCGAACAGCAAAGAGTATTGAACCCGCTGCTCTCAATTCACATCTGAAAGGCCAGTGAATGCTATCGAGATTGCACACGCACACCAAGCCGAGGAAACACACACACACACACACACACACACACACACACACAGACACACACACACACACAGACACACAGACACAGACACACAGAGGCTCAGGGTCTTGCTGCCTGGCGCGTATCGTCACCAACGAGTCGAAGCAGTGGAGATGTGCTGGTGAATGGGCACCGTTCGGCGTCATTGATGCAGCGAAAAACAAGCAAACACGAGGAAGGGTGGCGGAGTGAGGAGAAAAGGCTCCACACACACACACACACACACACACACACACACACACACACACACACACACACACACACACACACACACACACACACACACACACACACACACACACACCGCTTGAACGATGGGCGAGCCATGGCTTCCTCATTGATGGTCTTGAGTTCAATATATTCATTTGTGGCTGGGTCCACGCAGTCCACCTCGCCTGCGGCAACAGCACAACACGGACGGTGTGGTATTGGAGTGTTTTGGCAATGGGGACAAGCGTTGCGATCAAGAAAGTGCGTTGTTGATGCACACACACACTCTCTCTCTCGCTCGCTCGCTCGTTTTACATTAACTCACACACACACACACACACGCTCACGCACGCACACACACACGCTCACGCACATACGCACACACACTCACGCACAAACACACACACTCACGTACCAGCGGAGAGGATGGAGATGTTGTTCAAGCGTGTGTGGAAGACGCAGCAGAATCCTTCGTTGGTGTTCACAACAGCGCGTGCACACTGCTGATCAGTCAGCGTCATGTCAGCGTGCAGTTCACAGCCGTACGGGTCGTTGTGCCCATCGCCCCTCGTGTCACCTTGGTCGGCAGCGCGTTTGCCACTTTGCCCTCCGCCCTTCTCACCCACCATCACCGCACCCCTCTCATCCATATGGCCAGCGTCGCCATCATCATCACCATCACCATCATCACCACCGCCACCGCCACCACAAGCGTGTAGCTTCGCGTGTTTGCTCCGCATGCCGGGACCATGCTCCCCTGCAGCGCGTGCATCGTGGTGTGGGCGCTTGGCATTGTCAGGTGTGCTCTGTGCCGCGTTCGCGGGTGGCGCCGCACTTGCCTTGCCCACCGGTGGCGTTTGCACTGCGGCCGTGCTGCCCACGACGTGCTGGTGCTTGGCGTGTCTGGCTTGCCGTGACTCGGCATCCCGTGTAACGTACGTCTCGAAGCGATAGCCAGCGTAGCACGCGCGCCGCTGCCCGTCGGACATGCCGTGCACGCGCTGCTGCGCGGACTCAGAGGTCTCGTACTCGCACAGGAGCAGGCACCCTTGCAGTTTGAATGCAACGAGGGAGACTGGGTTGCGCCGCTCGAGTGGCGACGCCATGATCTTGGTGAGCAGCCCACGCCAGCATACAACGGAGTCTGGTGGGAACAGGTCGCGCATCGTCACGCGTTTGCTTTCGAGGCTAAGACCACGCGCATGGGCTGCCAGAACTGCCCATGACAAGAGGTGGTCGATGTATTCACGATGGCTCTGGTCTCTCTCGATGAACCGATCCTCAAAGCCATCCTCAAGCGGCACGCCCAACTCACATCCACGGTACTCTTTCAACACCTTTGTCCCAAGGCTGTTGCAGTACGTGTTGCGTGTGGGGCAGGAGGTGGGAAAGAAGAGGGGTTAGCATTGAACTCTATGGAGCGAGCAGGCAAAGCACAATCCCGCACGCACACACAGTTACTGGTGCGCACGTACGATAGGCGACGTCTCGCGTCCAAACAGAACCGGCCGACCTCTCGAGGACGCTGGTGACAACGAGTAAGGAGAGTCAGGTCAAAGAGAGACGTGCAAGCGAATCAACAGCGGTTCCGCCACAGCAGACGACTGCGTGCATGTACAAGACAGACAGCGGGAGTCCAAACACATGCACACACACACACACACACACACACACACACACACACACACACACACACACACACACACACCACATCACACCTGGAATGGCGGGAACTTGGCTGGCTGTGCATGTCGTGCCCAAGAGCCACACAGCCATGCCGATGCAGGTGCAGGTGGTGGTGCGCCGCTGGTGGTGCTGGTGGTGCCACTGGTTGTGCTTGGTTCCATCGTGAAAATGTGAGTCCTTCCTGCCTTCTGCTTCTTCACTTTTTTTCTCTAACAAGCAAGCAAGCAAGAGACGATGATGAGCTCAGCAGACCACGATGCCGTGGGCTCGTTGCAGGAGCCGCTGTTGGGTGTGGATGAGGAAGCGGGGGTAGCAACAGGGCTGGATTCGCCGACGATGGCGACAAAGTACAGTGAGGAGGGGCGGGAGCGCAAGGGGTCGACGGCGGCAAACGCGGAGAGCGTCGTTGAGTGGCTGCAGGCTGTGGACACGGCGACGGTGCTCCGATTCCTGAAGGATGTCCTGAAGGAGACGCTCATCATGGCAGCACCATTCAACGTCCCGAGCACAAGCAATTCGGAAGCAGATGAGGTCAACACTGGCCTTCGCCAGCTGCGGGGTTCTTACCTGACCACCTGGCTCATCGTACACATCACTGTCAGCGTTCGCAAGTGGCTCTGGACCTCGGAAGCGTTCCGTACGTTTGCATTTCGTTGTGTGTGTATGTGTGTATGTGTGTGTGTGACTGTGTGTGCGTGTGTGTGACTGTTTGTCCGTGTGTAGATACATCTGTGTGTCCATTTAACCGTCCGTCCGTCCGTCCAGGTGTGTGTCTGTGTGCTTCTGCTTGTGTACGTGGATGTGCATGCACCCGTGTCCTCTGGTGGATCAACTTTCCATCTCCTCTAGATGTACCGACCTGCTTCTCACCTTGTAGTGACTTGCGCACAGTGTCCATCTTCAGCCTGTACTGGCTCTATTTGCTGTGGCTCGTTATCCTCAGCATCGTGTACGGACAGGCGCAGTGCGATGACACTGTCATTCCCACCTTTGGCGTTAATCTCCACTGTCAAACCGCGAACATCTCGGAGTTCAACCCGGTGAAGAACTTCAGCATCGGATATGACGATGTCTGCCCCTTTGGCCTCAACGCGACCCGTGTGACCACCACGGTCATCATACCAACCTGTGGGCTGACGGCGGGCGAAATCGAGCTCTTCGAAACGCGCCAAGGTATTGCGACTGCCCATCCATCCATCGATGCTTGCTGTGCACGCCCAACCTCTCGAGTACTCCGGCATTCTGCCACGTGTACACAAGTGTTCTTGGTTGCAACACCTTCCCTGACACACACACACACACACACACGCGCGTGCGCGCGCGCAAAACTTCTGCCATCGCTGTTCTGTTCGCACACACCAGAGGCTGTATCCGGCGAAGTTGGGAGTGCCATCACTTTTGGCTTCATCGCGTCCGCCTTCATGGTCTACGTGCTGATGTGAGCCCACGTGCGAAGCCTTGAAACGGGGCTAGGGGCTGCTACAGCTTGGTCATCACATCAAACCAAACCACACATGCAGACGGATACAACACACGCACCCAGACACCCCGGGCAAATGCCCACACGCACACCTGCACATGTGCACCGAGATGCGCTTGCACACAGAACCCTTCGCTCATGTTCACTCATCCACGTCTGCACGCGCACAGGAACCGTGGCGAGTTTTTGTCCAAGACGCCAACCAGCGTGCTTGTGTCGCTGTGCAAAGGCCTCGGCCGCGGCACATTCATGGTCAGCTACTCGTGGACGGGCGAAACGCTCGTGCCTGCACGCAGCGTCGCGTCGTTGTTTGAGGATGGCCGGTGCTGGGTTGACGTGCAGAACATTTTGCCAGGCGCCTCCATTCAGGACGTGTGCACGACGGCAGCAGCCAACGCGCAAGTGGCGTTTGTGTTTCTGACACCAGAGTACCTCGCATCGCACAACTGCTGCCTGGAGCTCCTCAACTTTGAGCCACGGTGCGCAGGTGTGCTGGCAGAGCGCTTTGGATGGACAAACGACATTGCCACCGACACGTCAACAGCTGGGATGCATGCAAAACCGCACGTGCAAGGCACCTCAGACCGTGAAGATGGCGACCGTGATGGCGATGATGATGATGACGATGAAGGTGGTGATGATGGCAATGATGACGATGGCCAGGGAGGTACCAGTGACAAGATGCCAGCCGGTGGCGATATGGCGCTGCGCATGTCTGAGCTGCTGCGGCGGAAGCGAGGGGAGCCCTCTGCAAAACTCATCGTCTTTGTCACTGATGAAGTGTTTGATGATGAGCAGCACACAGAACAGGTGCGGCATGCCTGGAAATTCGTTTCGTGTGTGTGTGTGTGTGTGTGTGTATGTTTGTGTATGTGCTTGTGTGTGTGTGTGTGTATGTTTGTGTATGTGCTTGTGTGTGTGTGTGTGTGTGTGTGTTGTGTGTGTGTGTGCTTTTGAGGTGATTGCGTTGATGTGTGGAAGCTGGCCACAGTATTCCCGTATTCCAGGCTGCACTGAGCTCATCCACGGGACAACGTTTACACAACACCCTCGCAGCGAATTGCGTTTCATCGCCGCATTGTGTCGCTGCTGCAGCGCCACGACCACTACGTAACGTTCGAACGAGACAATATCCTCAAGTACCTCAACTACCGACCAAACAGGTGTGTTGGTGGGCATTGCTCCTTGTCCATTGCCACAGTGCTAGTTTTCTTCCGCACACACTCGCTTTACACACACACACACACACACACACACACACACACACACACACACACACACACACACACACACACACACAGGATTGTGCTGCAGACGCTGATCAACAGCGGTGCGCTTCTCCACGCGCTGCGCACACAGGCTGTAACGCCGGCCGTCAACGAGGGCTGGCAGGCAACTGCCTTTGCCATCGTTCGTGGGGTGCGTACGTGTGTTGTGGATGTCCGTACATGTGCGTGTGGTGCGAGGTGCGGGGGTGTGTATGCATATGAGGTTGAACGTACGTGTGTTTCAGTCTTTGGGCTTGCCTCTTACTGCCGTACGTGCTGACTTGCTCGTGTACTGCTCCTTTGTATGTGCAGTGGCGCATCAACACAGTCTACATGCTTCCTCTCATTGGCGGCCTCAGTACGAGCACACCACCAGCTTGCTTGCTTGTGTGCGTGCGTGTTTGTGCGTGCGTGTTTGTGCGTGCGTGTTTGTGCGTGCTTGGCTGTCTGCCTGTTTGTGTGAGGTATTGGGCTGGGGTGTAAGTATGTAGGTTGCAAGCTGTTTCTCCACCTGCTCAGCTTTCATGTGTTTGCGTGTTTGATGCAGCGAGCGCAATCTCCCTCGGCCTAAACGATCGAACCAACGGCCTCCTTGGCGGCATCTATGCGGGCATCTACTTTCGTGCGTCGGCCTTAACTTGCTTGTGCCAACCCTAAGCTTGCTCGCACCCTCACTCACTCAGTCACTCACTCACTCACTCACTCACTCACTCACTCACTCACTCACACACTCAGTCACTCACTCACTCACACTCTTCACTGTGCTGTGTAGTTGCTGCATCGTCGCTGATGGTGTGGCTTGCCTCGGCCCTGCGTGGCACGGGCCGATACATCGGTTACGCCGCGCAGATTCTCTTCTTCCCCTTCTTCCGCTCCATTGGCCGCTCGCGACGGTTTGGCGCACTGCCAGACATCGCCCACCTCACCACCATCCTCACCCGCTTGCACGTGTCCAAGCGCCTCGCTGTGTTTGTCAGCCAAAACGCCCCCACAGACCTCAGGGAAGCGCTGACCCTCCTTGAAAGGTGCGACTGCCTTGCATACTTGTGTGTGTGTGTGTGTGAGTGTGTGTGTGTGTGTGTGTGTGTGTGTGTGTGTGTGTGTGTGTGTGTGTGTGTGTGTGTGTGTGTGTATGTGTGTGTGTCCGTCTTGTCTGTCTGTCTGCTTTGTCTTGCCTTGTCTTGTTTGTCTGTCCGCCTGTCTGTGTGGGCATATGCGCACCTCGCGGCTCTTTGAATACCTCTGCCTCTCACTGCCCCCCTGTTTCTTTGTCTCTCCATACCTTGCCATGTTCCTCGTCTCATTCTCACTTGCCCGTGTCCCCCGTCACCACCGCAGCTACAAGGTCGTTGATCTCGCCGCAGACCCGGCGCTTGCAGATTTCTCCTTCATCTGTCTTGATAAGAACACGGACAAGCACCGCTTCAAGCTGCTTGGCGGCCACAGGCAGGGTATGTGGAAACGGGATGGTGTATGGATGTGTGCCAGCGCATGCTTGCTCAGTTACGTGTGCGTGGTGACCAAGTATGCTTCTCTGTGCACTTGTGGTTTTACAGGCCATGCTATTCGTCAGGGTTGCATTCATTTTCATGACTTGCACGCTAGAACCCTGCTTCATCTGAGCACCCTTCTGACATACACATGCGCCCATGCAACTTGCACTGCAGGTGACGTTGAGGTTGATGTTCCCGAGGTACTGGATGCTTCGGGCGCCACTGTCTACTGGACAACAGCGCCTTACGACGAAATCCTGTGCGTGACACACGCACGCACACATAAGCACACACGCATGCGCACACGCACACACACGCGCGCACACACAAAACACATGCACACACATACACGCACCTACACGCATGCACGCACCCATACGCATCCACATGCGCAACTGCGACACATTGCATTACTCAACGTCTCATAGCAAGTTGTGACCCCATGCTGGATCCCACAACAGGAAACGCAAACCGAAGAACGTGCGCAAGGCCTTTATCAAATGCGGCACGCCCCCAAAGTGCGCTCCTGTTGCTGCTGCGGCTGTTCTTGGTGGTGTCTTTCCTGGTTGGCTTGCAGCCGCGCACTCTCTCGCAACACACACACACACACACACACACACACACACACAAGCGCGCATGTGTGCGACACAACCCACTCAAACCGACACGCACGCGCACACGCTCACCCCAATCCGTGATATGCGTACTTGCGTGCACATCCGGTCGCCACCAGACTTGAGACGGTGCTGGTGCAGCTGATGAAGCGAGGCCTTGGACTTCCGCTCAGCGCGGGCGTGACTGTTGGCCGCCGCCCCTTCAAGAACATCGACTTTGAAATCCAAAGCGCAAAACAGCGCGTCCTCCACACCTTCTCAAAGGTTCGCGCACTGCATCGCGCGCGCGCGCGCGTGTGTGTGTGTGTGTGTGTGTGTGTGTGTGTGTGTGTGTGTGTGTGTGTGTGTGTGTGTGTGTGTGTGTGTGTGTGTGTGTGTGTTTGTGTGCTGATGTGTGTGTGTTTGTGTTTGTGTGTTTGTGTGCTGATGTGTGTGTGTGTGTGTGTTTGTGTCTGTCTGTCTGTTTGCTGGCATACATGCTTTGCTCACACGAGTGTCTTCCAACTGACCCCCCCCCCCCAAAACTCACACACACACACATACACAACTTGCGTAGAGCGCGTTTGGGAGCCGATTGCGCACACACAAAGAGCAGTTTGTGACGGCGACAAAGACGGCTGTGGTGCAGCCGTTCCAAGAAGGGCAGAGGGCGGTTGCCGGCTTTGCGTGGACAGGAAAGAGTGGAACAGGCACAGCTGATGGTGGTGATGGTGAAGTTGCTCATGGTGATGGCTATCATGACCATGGTGATGGTGATGGTGATGGTGATGGTGATGGTGATGGTGATGATGCGAGCGCTGCATCGCGACAGCAACAAAGGCACGGCGGCGGTAGTGATGGCGACGGGCAATTCGGGGATTCGCGCGTGTAGGGACGGGGCCGTGGCTCCTGGTTGTCTTCAGTTAGCAATAGCATGTTCATTCCACAAGGGGTGGGGGGGTGCTGATATGTGTGTGTGTGTGTGTGTGTGTGTGTGTGTGCTTATGTGTTGGTCGTGTGTGTGTGTGTGTGTGTGTGTGTGTGTGTGTGTGTGCTTATGTGTGTGTGTGTGTGTGCGCGCGCGCGCCATGAATTGAACCTTGCATTTGCGGAGAGTGGTGTGTGTACCTTCGTTGTTCAATCTGCAAATGGCCACTGGTGTCCATGTTACTTGGTGTGATGGAGCTCTAAACGGCGCTGTTGATGTGTAAACGGGATGTAATTCTGAAGGGGGCCGAGTGGTGTTGTGATCTGACACGACTGCAATGACCTCATGGCTTTACTTACAAGCAACTCGCGAGCGAGCGAAAACAACCACAGCGATGCAGCACAAAAAACGAGGCTGTCACAACAGCCACAACCAAACAACACAGACAAACACAGAAGAAACGACACAAAGGCAAAGAAGGCGCCCATGTAACACACACACACACACGCGCGCGCGCGCGCACAGCATGGAGCACACCATGCTCACTGTAGATGCGCACAAGCCCTCGTGCACGGTCGCATCAAACTCAGGGCATGGGACTCAAAGCTACCAGCACACACGCACGCACACACGCACGCGCAAACGTAAAACCTCACCACCGCCCCCCCCTCCTCCTGTCGTAAAATCACAAATGACTTCTCTTAACGTTGTCGAATCACTTTGGCACCGACTCGTCCACCACCACCACCACCATCACCACCATCATCATCACAATCACAACCGCCGCCGTTGCAGCCATCTGTATCCGGCATGCAAGGTGCAGCCTACATGGGCCTGGGCAACGCATCAATCTCCTCTGATGCGTCGCCATAGCCGTCGATATCGCCCTTCTTCACAAGCACCACGCTCGTCGGCCGCTTCGTCTGCCCGGCGGCACCAAGATCCTGCAGGCGCACCAGGCAACGGAGACAAAACAGCAGTTGGTGGTGAGTGTGCGAGAAATGAAGAGGGGCATGGGGAGCAAGAGTGAGATAAGGAGGCAGCCCAGGCAGCGATGGCCGTGGTGGAGCCAATGTGGCGTACAGGCATGAACGTGCAGAAACACCTTCAAAAATGCTCTTTGCAGCTCACCTTCTTTGACGGGATGTAGCAGTAGGGCACCTTGGCGTCCTCGCACATGACGGGAATGTGTGAAATGACGTCGATGGGAGACACGTCGCCAGCCAGGATGCAGATGCTGCGTTGAGAAGGTGGGGAGAGGGTTTGGAGATGCGGAGATGGTGTGTCAGTGACACGCAGGTGAGCAAGGCGCGAGATTCAACGACGACCCAAGATCGTGTGCATGGCATGGCTCGCGAGCCGATGCAAGCAATGTGTTGCGTGCATCACCGCTCAATGTACACACAGCAGAGGTGATGGGGAGGACGAAACAACAAGGTGCAGGTTGGTGATGTTACACACCCAGCAGCGCCCTTGCGAATTGCCTTGCTGACTTCCTTGACACCACGACACAGGGACTTGTTCTTGTGTGCCTTCTTCACCATCTGTATGGCACGGGCATACATGTACACATGTGCGTGCGTGCGTATACATGTGTGTGTACGTGTACATGTGCGTGTATGCGTGCGTATGTGAGAGAGTGTTGAGGCAACCAAAAGGCGGGGCGCGTGCATACCGATCAACCCCACGAGAAAAGACACGGCTCAAACGCGCTGGTTGGATATGGCTATCGCGCAAACCGCCGACTTGTGTACACAATCGCACACACAACACACTCCCAGAATACACACACACAACCCACAACACACAACAACACACGTACCTTGTACAGCTTCTTTGTGAGCTTCTTGTCTGCCAAAGGCTTAGCGATGACGCTCACGCGTTGTACCAGGACCTCATATGGGATTTCCTCCTCTGTGGCGGGTGTGTCGTTCTTCTCCTTCTTCTCCTTCTTCTCCTTCTTGTCCTTCTTGGCCTTCTTCTCCTTCTTGGCCTTCTTTGGCGTGTGCTCGTTGCCTGTTTCCCAGCGACAGCAGCAGACAGCGGTCAGTGAGTGGCAAGTTCAGGTTGGAAAACGAGAAGGAAGCGGGGTTGGCAACATGCCACGTAAAAATTACGACCCAATGGGACAAGGGTAGGGCAACTCATGGGGTGGGTTGGCATCAGCGAGCAAGGTTCAATTAGACTTTGGTCCTCACGGGTGTCAAATCAGAGACTCAAGTCGATTTGCTCATCACTTGCCAACAAAAAAAGCAACACAAAGGGAAACAGGGCCCCGCACGACACACACGCAACCGCACATGTTCACATCAAACAAGCCTCACAGTGGGAAAGAGAGAGATGGAGAGAGGTGGGAGAAGGAGGAGGGGGTGCATCCGCATGTTAACACAAGAAGCACAAGCTCAGTGCATGCGCATAAGCATCGGCGTACCCATGGCTGGTTTGGTTTGGTTTGGTTTGGTTTGCTTCTCACGTGGCAGGCGGTGTGTGGAAAATTGTCGGATGGCTTGGATGAAATTTCTCCAGGCAGCCGCCAGCAGAAAAATAAATTCGGCGGCAGTTGCGAGCAGACACAGCAGCAGTGAACGTTTCTTCGCTCGCTCGCAGTGCAGTCGTGTCTGACACAGGAAGACAGAAGCGTGCGTGCGTGAGTGTCGGTGTTGTTGAAGGGTACACAGCGTTGCAAAAGGTTGCACACACTGCAAGCAGAGTGTGTGTGTGCGTGTGTTTGTGTGTACGTGAGAGTGAGTGACAACAGCAGGTTGGTTTGGAGGAGGTGACAAGCAAGGACAGCAAGAACAGCCGACCATGTGGCGGTTTTCCGTTGAGTTTGACATGATGCTCGCCGTCGTGCAGAGCGGCACTGATGCACAGATCATGTCCGATGACTTCAAGGCCCGCGCTCGCGATTTCGCCAGAGAAGTGCAAGCACTTGGCGCCAAGGTGTGTGTGATTGTGTATGCGTGTGCGTGCGTTGGTGTGTATGTGTGTGCGTGGGTTTCTGCGTGTGTGTGCGCGTGCGTGTGCGCGCGTGCGTGTATGTCTGTGTGTGTGTGTGTCTGTGCGCTTCTGTATCTCTGTGCCTGTGTCTGTCTGTCTGTGTGCATCTGTATCTCTGTGCCTGTGTCTGTCCGTCTGTGTGCATCTATGCGTCCTTGTGTCCGTCTGTCCATCTGCCGTGTTTTCTCATCGACAATATCGGTGTGCCTTCTGCGTCCTCAATACATGCACACACACACGCAAACACACGCCTTGCGTATGTTCACGTGCCCTGTTTGCTTGTGTTCAGGATGCCCGCGCGTTTTACCTGCGCCCGCAGGACGCAACAGTGCGGCAACAGCTGGAAAGCGGCACAGACCGACGTGTTCCGCTCTTTCCGGATGACGACCGTGCAACCGCACCGCACGTGTCGCAAGAGGTCGTGGAGCAGGCGATTGTCCTCTCCGACCTCCTTGGGCTGCACGAGCAGACTTGCTGCGGCCTCGTGCTGGAGGCTGTATCGCCACACACGGTGCCGCTGGCCATGCACACGGCTGACACCACAACCAAGGCCATGTACCTCTACTTCCAGGCGTGCCAGACCCTGTCTCGCTGCTTCTGCATCCTCGCCGACGAAGCTGCAAGCACCACCGAGACGTCCCTCTCGGGGTTTGCGCGGGAATGGTTTGACAAGGAGGTCACAAACCCCCTGGAGATTGCCATGACGTGTGTGCGCAACTGCGACGCGCAGGAAGACTGGAGGACCGTGCAGCGCTGTATTGGTGCGCTTCCTGACGCCAAGGCATCCTCCGTGAGTTGCCCTCCTCTCCCGTGTCAAATGTGTGTGTGTTTGTATTTTTGTGTGTGTGTGTGTGTTTGTATTTTTGTGTGTGTGTGTGTGTGTGTGTGTGTGTGTGTGTATTTGTGTGTGTGTGTGTGTGTGTTTGTATTTGTGTGTGTGTGTGTGTGGTTTATGTTTGCGCCATGTTTGCGCCTCTGTGCGCACGTGCGTACGCGTGTTGTGCATGCGATGACTTTTTGTGGTTCTCCATATCTTCAAGTGCATGGGACAATGCCTCACACGTGACCCCCCGTGTGTACGTGTGAGCAGCAAGCGCCGATGGACGTCATCACGGCGCACATGGAGCACGTTGTGTTTGAGCGCGAGGTCGAATACGCAGACATGCTCCTCACCATCGTTGCCAACGCCAGCCTCGTCCCGCAATCACAAGGTGTGTGTGTGCGTGTGTGTGTGTGTGTGTGTGTGTGTGTGTGTGTGTGTGTGTGTGGGTGGGTGGGTGTGGGTGGGTGTGGGTGGGTGTTGGAATGCACACTTGTGTGCACGACAGTTTTGTTTCGTTTTGCTTGTGCTTGCGGTTGCTTGATTGGCGCCAACTTACAGTACATGTGTGGCTCTGCATGTTTTGCTTTGGTGCAGAGTCGTCGCTGCTGGAGATCAGCCCGCTGCAGGTCGCCCTCCTCGTACAGGTCAGAAGCCAGAAGTTGAGCCGAGAACAACAACAACAACAACAACAACGACAACAACAACAACAACAACAACAACAACATGAACGGGTTTGCTTTGCTTACAGCCTTCTCCCAGACGCGCTCTCATTCAACATCTCGCTGTTCGTTGTTGTTGCTGCTGTGCGGCTGTGCATGTGTACGTATGCATGTACATGCGTGTGTAAATACATGTGTGTATCAATGCGTGTGTACAGCTGCTGCGGGATGTGTCGGCACTGGACAAGGGCCCGCTGGACAAGCCAAAGTCGGCCGTGTGCAGTCTCATTGCCATCGTCCTCTGCGCATTCCAGGTGCGCGCAGTGTCGCAGTGGTGCTGCAGTCATGGGCATTGTCATAGATGTGTGCGCATGCCTTCTCCACATGCACAACAGCTTCATATGTGCAGTCAACCCCCCCCCCCCCAACACACACACACTGCACACAGCCCTGTCCTCCAACGCTCGCCGACCCCCCTGCCGTCTTCACGCAACACACTCATGCACGCAACACGCTCATGCACACAACACACACACACACACACATACACACCCACATGCCTGCCGACTGCCGCGTGCAGAAGCACCGCGAGTTTCAGCTGCGCGTGCTTGATGTTGCACCGCAGTACACGGCCGACACCGCCCGCGAAAATCCGCTGCTGCTGCCCGGGCCAGACGGACACAACGCAATCGACACGGTGCGCCCATCTGTCGTGCTGTGGCGCCCAGCGAACCTGTGATGTGCTGTGCCGCAAAGCAGAGGAAACACTTGATTGCACATGTTCGTGTATCTGTGTGCGTGTGTGCGTGTGTGTGTACGCGCGCTGTCGTCAGCCCGCGCCGCCGTTGCCGCGTTGATGTAGTGGTGCCATTCTCACAACAGACACGCTCATGTTTACACGTGTACGCGTATGTGCCCTCGCAGGAGCTGTCACAGCCGTGGGGTGGCAGTGTGCTTGTGTGGCGGCTGGTGCGCATCGCGTATGGCCTCATGGTCGACGACAACGAGACGATCGAGCTTGCTCGCGACCCCTCCCACACCATGGCCGCAGGCGCCACAACCAGAGGTGCTCGGCAACACTCGTGCATGTGCGCATGTGTGTTTACATGTTTGCGTGCTGCTTGTGCATGTGTGCGCATCTCTCGGGTCAGCTGCAATTTTTGCGTGCATGACTTCGTATGTCTGTTCCGCGTACCAATGCGTACAGATGTCAGTGTATTTCAACTCACACTGGCCTCAACTCGACCACAACAGGCGTGTTTGACTTTCTTCGCTGCGTGCTGGAGAACCGCGTGTTTGCGCGCGTGTCGCCCATGAGCGCATACAAATCAGACATCTTCCAGATGTACGTGCCATGGCGTGGGTTTGTGGACAGGGGTTGTAGTGCACACTGCCCTGATGTGCTGATGTTGTGTTGTGTTGGCCAATGTTTTCGAAAACTCACCACGCTTGCTTCCTTCCTTTAGGTTCTTTGAATGGCTGATTGAAGACAACCAGCGGGTACGATAACAGCCTGCACTGGCGACGCGGCTCTTGCTTTCATGATCATTTTCTCGTCGTCTTCACCCGCAACGGCATTCCTGCCCTGCCTACCCTCACCTACATCACATACACACACACACACACACACACACACACACACACACACACACACACACACACACACACACACACACACACACAGATCACGCACTGGCGGACGATGGCGGACGACTACTACCAGGAGCACGCGAGCCAGCGGCTGCAGGAGGAGATGCTGCAGGGCTACGACCGCCACCACAACAGCTTGTTCACGGACGACTTTCAGCACCTCATGCAGGCCGCCACCGCCCTCTTCAGGTCGCCGTGCTCCCCACACTGCGCAGTTGTGCATGTGCATGTGTGTATGTATGTATGTATGTATGTGTGTGTGTGTGTGTGTGTGTGTGTGTGTGTGCGAGTGTGCGAGTGTGCGAGTGTGCGAGTGGGTTGTGTCGAGGAGGTGGCCCGTTGCAGGTGGTCCGTAGGAGGTGGTGCAGATTCTGTACGCCAACAAACTGTTGCACGTGCTTCACTCACTCATTCCCTCGTTTGTTCGATCCTCCTCCTCACCGCTACCACCACCGCCTTTGTGCTACAGGCTGCCGAGCTTGAGCGAGGACCGCGTCAACCCGTCAAACTGGGAGTCGTTCCTCAAAACAGCCGGTGCGTGTTGCCACGGTTCTGTCTGCCCCTCCTCCCCCTTCCGTTGCGCCATTTGCGTTTCACTGGGCGGTGGACCCAATGAATTGTTTCGGTTACGCTCGACCCACGGTGGCTCAAATTTCGTTGCGCTGTGATCACACACACACACACACATACACATACACATATATGTATACACACATACAACAATTTACACGCACACACACACACTCTCTCTCCTTCTCTCTTGTTTGTACATGCTTTTACAGGCACAGCTCACATCTCAAACTACCAAGCCTTCCTCGACCTTGTATGTACTGTGCCGCTGCGACAAATTGGTGTCTGCATGAACGTGTGTCTGTGAACCAATTGCTTGTGCATCCACGGTGCGCGGGTTGGGTCTTCAAAGCTCACGTACGCTCGCGCACATGTTCATGTATGTTGACCACTTTTGAACAGCTGCATGCCTTTGTTATTGGATTTGACACGGCATCCACCGTCTTCAACCTCTTCAGCATTGCGTTCAGTGAGTCAGCACACACACACACACACGCACACCGGCGCACATGCACACTTGCGCTTGCACGTCACACCAATTGAACACGCCAACCCGCACTCGAATCATAGTTTGCCTTTTCTTTTTCCCTTTTTTTTTTTGTTTGTTTTGTATCGCTGCCTGTCTCACCGTACGTGTGCGCGTGTGCTCTGCAGCCAAGCAAAACGAGGTGTTTACGTGGCGGAATCTGCTTGATGCAATCAAGGGCTACGTCGACGAGCTCACGCAGGGAAACACAGGTACTGACGTGTCGCGATGATGATGCAATCACTTGTGCTCATACCAGTTGGATTTAGTGTTTGCTTGCCCACACTCAAACACACACCGCTAACTTAACCTTGTTTTGTTACCCTTGGTTGCCCACGTGATTGTGCGTTTGTGGTTGTGTGCAATAGCGTTGAATGCAGACATTGAGACGCAGAAGATGCTCATCGCCTACTTTGACATCCTCGGTGCTGTGGTGCGTCCCCAAGTGCTCGCGCTGACCGCCAGCAGCCGTGTGCTGTTTCTCGTGCTGTGCGACTTTGCGCCTCTTTACAAATCACTTCTAACTCTCACACACACAAAACTACACGCACGCACGCACAACACACAACACACAACACAACCCGTACACACGAAACACTCTCATTCCTCACCTGCACGTAATTTCCGTTCCCCGTGCACGTGTCAACAGGCTGAGCACGTGCACAAGCACCACAACGGCGCAACGTTTGCCTTTGATGGGGAGTTTCTGGATTGGCTGCTGCAGCTGTTCCTGTGCCCCGTGACGAGCGAGATCAAAGGCGCCGTGTGCCGCGCCCTCGCTGGCCTGTGTCACTCCAAAGACGCTGCGCAATACGTCTGGACCAGGCTCTGCGAAGAAGAGGGCATGCTCGAGATGGCAAGCCTCGCAGAGGCGTAAGTGCAACAACAGGATGTGTGTGCGTGTGTGTGTGCAGTTGTCTGTGTGCCTGTGTGCCTGCGTGCTTGTCCATTCATCTACTGTGTTGTGTGTGCTCGAGTGGCACGCGGATGCTTGGTCGAGGCGCCTCTCACATGCCGATCCGGCCTAACCTTGCCCGTTGCTCCCACTGCATACCACGGCAGGCGGGTTCGAGATGATGTTGGCCTGGCTCGCGACTTTATGAACGAGCGCAGCGCGCGTGTGTACGACGAAACACGCGGTTTCCTCGACCTCCTCACTGTCCTCTTGCCTTCCTTCGAGGTGTGTGCACCATGCATTTCCCAAGCTCCCCAATGACGCTCCCTTGCACTCTGCGTTTGGTGTGCAGCTTGAATCTGCACCCACAAGGCACACATGGGCGTCCACCTCTCCACAAGCGATGCACCTTCTCACACAACTGCATGTGGTGTGATGCATTTCAAATCCCCCACCTCCCTTTTACCATCCCGCAGACTGCACGGCTTGATCCCAGCCTGCTGCTTCAGAAGGTTGACGCGTTTATGTCGCTGGTTGTGGACAACGTCTTTGCAAACGTGCTGCAGCAGAGCTACGTTGACGCCACCGCCAAGTGGCAGCTGGCTGAGACTCTCGTCGTCTTCATCCGCCGTGTTCTCTGTCAGTCTTCTCATACGTGTTTGTGTGCGTGTGTTTGTGTGTTCTCGTGTGTGCTTGTGCGTGTGCGTGTGCGTGTGCGTGCGTTTGTATAGCCTCGTGTGTGTGCGTGTGTGCGTGTGTGAAAACAACCACTTGCATGCGTTCTGCCTGCGTCGCCTTGCCGCCCTCTTCCAACCTCCCCCCCCCCAACTGTGTGCCCGTCCCTGAACCAGGCGAGTACTATCCCGCCACCACGGACTTCATTGACGATCGCGCGCGAGAGCTTACACAGCAGCCGCAGCCGCAGCAGCCCCCGCTGCGCCACGCCGGCCGCTTCCGTACGTCCTGCGCTATTGTTCTCTCCTGCATGCCGTAACAGACGTGATGGTGGTGGTAACATGATGCTGTGGTTGCTGTCGCGGAGATCGCTGTGACAGCCACAGTTGGTTTGTGCTCGTGTCTGTGCTTGGGCTTGACATCACTCTCCTCTTCATCGCGCTCACGTGTACCGTGTTCCAACGCGTCATGCGTCTCTGTTGGTTGCGTGATCTTCGGCAGTGCTGCGTCGCCTGTCTGATGATGAGCACACGTTGCGCACCATCAAGGACGTTGTGAGGCTGGCCGCCAACAACCACAAGTACGCGCTTGACTCCAAGGCCCGCACGCACTTTATGAACTGCGTCGAGCCGTGCATGGATGTGCTCGAGATGACGTTTGTTCGCCAGGTCAGTCTACCCCTTGCTTGTACGTGTGCGCCTACGTGGATGTGTGTGCTGAGCCACCCCTGCTTGCTCTAATTGTTCAGACCTCAATTGTGCACCCCTTGCACAACGTTGCTCATACACGCACACATACATATCCATACACTCGCTCACACACGCTCGATGTCGCTACGTCTGCATGAACGTGCATGTTTGTTTTGGACAGCGTGCGATGGAGCCGTATGCGCCCGTGCTGCAGCCGCTGGCGTCGCAGCTGCTCGACCTCGTTGGTGACGTCAGCACGCTCCTCAGCAGGGATTTTGAAGAGAAATACGCTCTGAAGGTGCATAGGCTTGTCCACACACACACACACACACACACACACACACACACACACACACACACACACACACATCGGTATCAACTGCATGCTCGAGATAACTAGCACGAGCACATCAACGTGCACTCGCGCAATCACACATTTGCACGTTCTCCCTATTCATCAACCCCTCGCTGCAGTGATCATCCGCCCCTCCCTTGCCTAACCACCCTCAAAACACGCGAACACACTTACTGCCTCATTCGCAGGCCATCACGCTGCTGTGGCACGTCCTGCGGTCGCCGCGCCGCTCGCACGACTTTGGGTCCATTTTCCGTCGCCTGGGCGGCTTCCACCTGCAGACGATCATCGACAGCCTGCAGCTGCGGCTACACGATGTGCGGCCAACCGTCAACGCCGTGCCCACTGGCGAGGAGCACTTTGATGTGCACGGCCAGGTGCACTCCACCTTCACCAACGCCGTGGCGACCAGCATCCTGCACCTTCTGCACCATCTTCTGCAATCGAGCCAGAAGAACGTCGCCTTTCTCCTCCTTGGCCTTTCCAGCGTCGTGGACGGTACTCAGGTAGCAAGCTGCTCGCTGCCTTGCTTTGCTTTGCTGTGCTTTGCTTTCCAACGTTTGCAGTTTTCTTCGATGTGCTGCGGTGCTTTCATCCCATCCCCCTCTCGAGCATGCATTGCAGTCCAAATCACCCCTTTCGTGTTTTCAGCTGACACATGCGCCCTTCCCTCTCTTCCCTCTCTTCCCTCTCTTCCCTCTCTTCCCTCTCTTCCCTCTCTTCCCTCTCTTCCCTCTCTTCCCTCCTTACCTCCTTACCTCCTGAACTCTTGCAACCAACAGCGCCGCATCCGCCCGCCTGGCCCTGGGGAGCCGAGCAACTGTCTGTACTCGCTCGTGTACCTGCTCGACCCAAAGCAGTCACCTCCGCTCGTGCAGTGCAACCCAGAGTGCGCCGAGCTGGCTGCACAGATCTTGTATGTGCTGTGTTGGTTCCCCCAGACGTCGCAGCCTGTGATGGCCTATCTGCGCGACAGTGAGGACTTTTTCAGCAACCACATGCGCGCCCTCGCTGCGCGCGCGACGGGCAGCCTGACCCCAACGCAGGTGGCCGCCCAGCACCACTACACGGCGTGGGTGCTGAAGATGCTTGCGCTCGAGCTGTACTCGCCCTCCAAGGGCGGCAGCGGCGAGTCGCAGTCGGGCCTGGTTGAGGCCATGCTCGAGCTCGACTCGCCACGGTTTGACAGCGCGGGGCGCGGGGCGCGGCGGCGGCTGCTGCAGCTGCTGGACCAGATTTCCCTCGAGTCTGACCCCGTCGCAGCACCGGACCTGCACGTGCTTGACATTGGGCTTGTCAACGCGGCCTTCAAGCGGTGCACGGGCCCGCGCATGGGCCGCGAGGGTGCGCAGTACTGCCGGATCGGGGATATGATTGACGCCATTCGAAGCAGCATCGACCAGGTGCACGACGAGGCGGCGGTTGAGGCCGAGCTGGCGCAGGTGGCGCGCATTGCCGAGCAGAGCAACACCAACAGCGAGCTGCGGGCGGCAAAGGCACACCTCCTTCGCGCGTGGCACCGCGCCGTGGAGGTTGCGCTCATCAAGTACCCGTACCAGACAAGCCCGACCAACCGCGTGCACACGGTGTCGCACATGCTGTCTGAGGTGCTGAACAGGCTGCCGGAGAACCCGGACCAACAGCAGCGGCTGGAGCCCGAGCTGCTCACCGTCGTGTCGGACATTCTGGTGACGATGATGTCCATCCTGGTGGACGCGACGCTCATGCTCTCGCGCGAGCAGGCGCGGGCCGCCCTCTCCACCAGCGTTCTCCGCCGCATCCTCGACGGCATTGTCTTTGGTATTCTCTTCAGGGACAGCACGACGCGCATGCGGCTCAACCAGTACGGCGCCCTGCTCTTCTACCTACGCATTGCCCGGGAGACGGGCGACCCGACATACAGCGAGCGCCTGCGTGCGCCGCAACGCCGCTTCCTGGAGACGGTGGTGCAGGACGCCAGCGACTCGAGTGGGTTTACGTCAGTGCTCGCCACCTCCGCGCTCAAGGAGGTTTTGCGCGTGTGCCGCCAGCACTCTGCGGTGTGGCTGACGTACTTTGGGCGATTCGGGCACCTGAACGGGTTTGTTGCGCAGCTGCAGGACACGGACGATGCTCTCATGCGCGCAATGACGTCCACGGATGAACGGTCCCTCCTTGTCATCCAGGAACATCTTGCCCGCCTGGGCTTCCTGCTGGAGGTGTCACACAGGTCCTCGGGCCCAACGCTGCTGTTCACCACAGACTTGCTTCGCGTGTTGGAGCAGGCGCGCTTCATTGACGCTCGGCCCATGGCAGAGGACGTCCACAGCACGCGTCCCATGCACTCCACAGCGTGCGTACCCTTCTCTGTGTGTGTGTGTGCGTTTGTTTGTTGTGTGCGTTTGTTTGTTTGCATGTGTGCATCGGCAAACGAGGCTTGCTTGTGTTTTGGTGTTGCTGGGTGGCTGCGCCAGTGCTCTGCTGATTTGCTCCTCCGCTCCCGCATTTCCATTTGCGTGTGTTCCCATTGGATGCGGACTGCCACCACCACAGGCTGCTGGACGAGCACACCTCGCGGCTGCAGCGCCATCGCAGCATCGTCATCCCCGTCATCCAGCTCGTCGTCAGCCTCCTACAGAAGTGCAAGCAACAGGTGTGTTCGTATGTGTGTGTGTGTGTGTTCGTATGTGTGTTCGTCTGTCTGCCTGTCCATCTGTGTACGTGCGATTGCGTTATTGTGATGGGATCATTCCTGGCCAACACTCACAACACGGCATAATCCACAATCGCCATGACAACACCAGGATACCAAGGTTGTGAGCCACATCATCACGTTTGTGCAGCGCCACCTTGGCCAGTACTTCCGCCCCGTTTTGAAGGTGGGTGTGGGCTGCATCACAACCCGACAGCACGCGTCGTTCCCTGCACACTTGTGGGGGCTGCTTGCCTATTTCGCTGTCGACTGTTCTGGAAAGGGCGGGGGTGGGTGTTTTGTTTGTGTCTTTCCTTCGAAACTCACGTTTGTTTGTCGCGAAACTCCTTGTGCGTCCCTTCTATGATCAGGACCGGGTTGGTGTGATTGATGTGCAATCGCTTGAAGAGTTGTGTGTTGTCACCTCCATGTTCCGGCTGCTCTCTCGCTACGGAACCACGCTGCGCACAGCCCTTGGCGCAAACGACCTCAGGTGCCCAACACAAACTGCGCACGTGCTTGCTTGTGTTTTGTTTTCGTGTTTTTTTTTTACTTGTTTGTTTTGGGGGGGGGGGGGGGGGGGGTTTTTTTTTTGCTTTTCGTCCTCCCCACACATACACACTTACTTACACGAATATTGATGCACACGCAAATGCGCGTGTTTGTGGTTGTCCACTGCAGGGTTCAGCACCAGATGGTGTCGCTCGCGGTTAAGTACTCCAAGCCAGGGGCGTGGCGGTCCACCCAGCACTGCTCGCAACTGGAGAAGCGCACCATGGAGACATATGTCAACCAAATTGTCTTCAATGCGCTCTCATACATGCGCACGCGGATGGATGAAGGTGCGCTGATTGCGTGTGGCGTGTTCGAACTCGCTTTGCTGATGTTTTTTTTTTTTGCTCGATTGTTTGTTTGTTTGTTTGGTTGGTTGGTTGGTTGGTTGGTTGATTGATTGGATTGTTCGTTCGTTTTGTGTGCTAGGATGGGAGTGTTGCGATTTGTTAGCACTCAATTTCGCACAAACCCGCTCTCACCCACCTTCGCCCAAGCCCGCTCTCACCCACACTTCATCTCTCTCTTGTTGAATGTAGACTGTGCTCGCACATACACGCGCAGCAACATCAACTTGGTCCTGTATCCCAGCATCACACAGACGGTTGAGGACAAGCCAACTCTCCACATTCTTGTCGTGCACATGGAACAAGCCAACGAAACACGCAGGGTACGTGAGGACCGATGAGATGTTTTGCATGCGATTGGGCTTGCGCGTCATTTGTGCACACATGCGTGCGTCCGTGTGTGTGTGTGTGTGTGTGTGTGTGTGTGTGTGTGTGTGTGTGTGTGTGTGTGTGTTTTCGCTGTTGGATAGCTGTGACGGAACAGATGCTCACTAGATGTTGGTCGCATGATGCATTTGCCTGCCACACACAGGCTGCCGTGCAAGCGATTGAGAGCCACGAGGACAGTTTGCGCCGCGTGGAGGAGCTGAGTCGGGAAACGCTGCTGGAGGTATGATTGTATCCAGCGCCAATGGGCATTCACGTCGTCACTCCAGAGGTGTTGTCAGTCACCATTCCTGCTCGCCATGTTTGTTCGTTGATTTAAACATGTATGTGCGTGTGCGTGCAGCTCGATGTTGACCCGGATGTTTCCCGCGAAGAGCAGCAGCAGCAAGCACGGACCACACTCGCTGCCCTGGTATGTCACCATTTTCTGGTGTTGCTGTGCTGATGATAATGTGTGACATCATACCAGTTGCGCCTAGCACAGTATGCGCTTTTGATCGACACGCGCGTTGCTCTTGTTGTCTGCGCCGCACACGAACCACGCACATGCTTGTGTTCACACTCACGCACATATGCATGCATGCACGAATTCACACGTGAGCAGATTACGGAAGCGAAGCGAACGAAAGCGCTTGCGTTTATGATTCTGGAAACGTCTCTGTACATTCTGTGGCGGCACTTGGAGGTGTACCTGCAGTACAACACCCTGCTCAAGGTGTGTGTGTGTTTGTATGACATTGTGATGACATGCAATCAGTGTGTGCATGGGTGCAATATGAGGGAGAGTTGTGTCTGCTCAGCCACGCCTTCCTGAATGGCGAACGTTCCTCAGGGAAGCGCCGTGTCGCAGCAACCAACAGCCAAGGGACCCCGCCGTCTTCGAGGTACGATTCTGTGTGCAGGTGTCTCTGTTGGATCCCTCTGCCTGTGCGTCTATGTGTGATGGCTTGCTCTCTGCACACACTCCAGCTCACATACGAAACAAACAACAACCCACCCTGTTTCCGCCGCTACTGCTGCTGCTGTTGCTGCTGCTTGTTATCACACCAGCTGGGCTGTTTGGTCAGCCTGTTGAGCGCCAGTCCTTCATGGACGACATGGCCACGGATGAAGAGGAGCTCCCTGTTGGCCTTCATCTCGAGGTCAGGGGCTGTGTCATCTGTAATCAATCGCCCATGCTCTGCTGCTGCTGCTGCTGCTGCTGCTGCTGCGCCTGGTACGAGCGCACGACTACTGCTCTGAACTCTTGCCACTGGCGGTTGCCTCAAGTTGCTGACGCCAGCTACACTCCTTGCCGTGTCGCTGTTGTTGGTGATAACACCGATGCTGGAATTGCAGGCCATCAGCGCGGATGAAATTTCGACGCTGAGGCGCGAAGTGGATGCATCACGCACGCTCTCCGTCAAGCAAGGCAGCCTCTTGCACAACCTCGTCGAGGAGGAGGTAGGTGTGTGTGTGTGTGTATCTGTGTGTCTGGTGTCTGTGTGGCTTTGTGTGTTGACTTACGTGTGCCGTTTGTTACCCATCAACGAGAGTGTTGTTCTGAAGTGCATGCACTATTGGCACTATCGACATAATCACTCACTTCACAAGCGGGTGCCCACACACGTGCACAGGCCGCGCGTGCTGCATCGCAAAGTGGGGCGGAGCGCATGGCCAGCAGGGGGATGCTGGATCCCATTGTCAAGCGCATGAAGCGCCTTCGCGTCATGCTGCAGTCTTCCAACAACTAGTTGTCGCCTGACACCACCGATACTGCGTTTGACGTTGTGTTGTGTTTGTTGTGTTGTGCTTGATTGGACTTGTGCTGCTTGTGCGCCGCGCACAGTGATGTGGCGTGGTGTTGTGGATTGACTGCACTGAGTTGACTGGCGTTGCTAGAGGTTGCTGTTTGTTGATGGTGTATTTTGCTTGTTGTGGACTTGTGTTGAAAAGGGCAATGACTGGGGTGAAAAGCAAACAGTAAAACCAAGCCCGTTGACCTCTGACAAGTGACCTATGCAGGTGACCAGCTTGCTCGTGACATGGCTTTGTCAGTTGCTCGAGATGCAGGCGTTGCTCGTGACTCACGGCGTCATATTACCCGACAACAGCTTCAGAAAGTGCCACGGGCCATTGGTCGCGCTTCGTTCGGAGATAATCAACCAGCTGTATGCACGTGTTCAAGACGTCGGTGGGGTTGAGATGATGGCGCGTGCACAGCAACCTTCCACAAAGGATATGAAGGAGTGAAGCAGACAGGCAGCAAATGCACCACACACACACACACGTATACATTACATACACCACACACACATTACTACATTACATACACCACACACAAATTACATACACCACACACACACACATATCACTCCACATACACGCATACACCACACGCATCACACCACATACATCACACACACCACGCAAAGACAATGCGCGCACCTCCTTCATGGTTGATGCGGTAGTCTGCATCTGGTTGACCTTCCAGTGCTGCTGGGGAGTGAACTGCAGTGCATGATGTGTCGGTTGTCCCTGGTACACGACGCTCAAGACCACCGTCGATTGAGAGGTGCCGTACGGTCGCAGGAGGAAGGCGCCATCTTGCTTGCCACGAAGTTTGGCTGTTGCGCAATACATGTTCCAACCCCACGCGGTCATGGAGTTTTGTGCCAGGCCAATAATATGTTAGCACATGTGTATCTGATAGCGCGTGTGCGCACGTCAGCGTTTACCACGAGCGAATCAAGTGCAATGTGCACAGGGCGCAGCTGAGCCAACAAGCACATGCTTGATACACGATGATGCGCTTGTTGCATCAATAGTACACACGAACGACCCTGCCTCTGCAGTACCCTTCATGCATTGCAAACGAGACCGCACGCACCTTCGGCCTGTGCCTTGGTCACGGCTGTGTGGAAATACGGCATGGCAGCCGCCAGAGACGTTGCAGTTGCTGGCGTGGAAGGCATTGGCGGTTGCACGAGCGTTTGTGTGGGCGCTTGCTGTGCAACGGCGGCCGTGCCATTAGGGATACCGCTGGTGAGGGCAACGGGCCACCACGGTTGCTTCGACGACAACACTCTCAGCACCTGTGGTGAGGTGGTGTGATGTGGTGTAATGTGGTGTAATGTGGTATCATGCGGTGCAATGATACGAACATCACGGTCGTGAGCGACGCAATGATACCTTGTGTGTGTGTGTGTGTGTGTGTGTGTGTGTGTGTGTGTGTGTGTGTGTGTGTGTGTGTGTGTGTGCTGATGCGGATGACACCCGCGGCGGTAATTGTGGTGCCGTGGTATTGCGTGTGCATGTTATTATGCGTGTAAGCAGTGGGTGGGTGGATGTCAAGCGTGCGCGAGTATGGGTCTTTACCCCATCAAGGGTGGATTGCGCCGTGTCGGTGCCATTCACGGCAAACATGCCCGATTGCTTGTTGGCAGCAATGAGATGGTGCGTTGGCGCGCCATTGTACACGACACCTACAAACGCAACATGGGTGCGGAGATACACGGCAAGGGGAAGAATATGAGACCACGGCTGACGCTCAATCCGCCTTGATTTGTTGGTGGAGGTTGCGCTCTGCGCATGCTTCACTTGCATTGTCGTCGCGAAGCACAAGTGAGATGCGGGCACACAGACAGCACACATGTCGGTGCACCGACAGAAGAAGACACACATGCGCGCACACGCAAATGACAAGAAACCAAGGCAGCAACATTGTGAACGTACTGAGCACATGGCCTGTGGGGTGAGGGCGCAGCAAGAAGGTGCCGTCAGGCTTGCCGGCCAACATTGCTGTGACAACACGGCAGTGGCGTGCGATGGCAACGTCAATGGTGAGCGGATAAAACGACAGCGACACCGACACAGCGTGGGCGAGAAACACAGGTCGTGCTGTGCTGTGCATGTTGGGGAGGGACAGGCATGTGGGTTCTGTTTGTGTAACCTTGAGCAGCGTACCGTCTGCTTCGGCTTTGCGGGTGCTGGTGTGGTAGTAGAGGGATGACTGGCTCGTTTGAACTGGTGCTGGCTGCGTCGTTCTTGAGGTGCGGGGTGGAATCGGAGGCAAATCGCTTGGTTCAGGCGCTGGGTGTGATTGCTGCACTGGCAGTGGCTGTGGTTGTTGCACTGACAGGTCTGGCTGTGGTGTTGGTGGCTGCAGCGGCTGTTCCTGCTGTGCGTTGGTTTCTGTTGATGGCCCCTGCTTGTCTTGTGGATCAGTCGCAAGCCCCGTGCTGCCCTGGCTGTTGCTGGCGTTGTTGTCAGCGCTGTGTGTTTCTGGCTGGTCCTCTACACTCGGCGTACCCTCACCATCGCCATCGTCGTCAGAGTCGGCATCGCCAACACCACGGTTGTCCAGGGAGGCAAACAGCTCCTGTGGTGAGGTCACGGACGACCTGGAAGACTGCTTGACCAGGGCCTGTTGGAAGTCGTTGCCGTCACCCTGCCTGGTGTTCCTGTCCCACAACATGTACATCCGGGTGAGCAACGCGTGTGTGCGTGCGTGTGTGTGTGTGTGTGTGTGTGTGTGTGTGTGTGTGTCGTGTGTGTGTGTGTGTGTGTGTGTGTGTGTGTGTGTGTGATACCTTAAGCGCTTGCCGACTAACCTGCTGCGGGTGCTGTAACTTTCAGCCCCGGGCATATATCGGTTGCTGCAGCTTCCATGCCAAGCTGAACCGACGGGCAACGCACGGCCATGCTAGGTGGATCAATGTATTCCACTGTAAATGCGTTCGCTGAATCTCATATAGTGCCCCCCCAGTTCACGATTAGAAAATATAGGGTTTCCCGCTCACGCTGAGGTGGTGGTCGGTACTTGAAACAGCCAGAGGTACCTAACACTGCTTAGGATGCTAGAAAAGGTTACGACTAGGGTCGTTATGGACTGCTGGGCCCCGTCTGGGAACCGCAGATCCAATGTGACTCGAACCTTTCTATAGACCAAGCAGCG